TCAGAACCAATAAGACAAACATATGAGTAATAATGATTATTCCATTGTGTTCAGGGAGGTTTGATTTGTGTTTGATGTTCCCGCTGTGTCTCCAGGGAGGTTTGACGTGTGCGCGGTGCTGCCCTGAGTCCCCGTTCCTGTTCGCTATGGGAGGACAGAAGGACAGTCTGAGGGTCTGGGACGTCATGGACAGTGGAAACACGGCATGTAAGGATCACATACTGTCATACTTACTGTAGTTAAATGTGTTACATGGTTGTGGCTGTATTCATAATATTCATATCTCATTCAGTTCTGGCATTCAATGTCCAAAACAGGTATCAGGTACACCTGTTTTGAAGGGTCAACTTGAATTTCTTGATGGATGTATACTGTTTGTTACATTGTCAACTTCGTCATGTGCCTCATACCAGGTAGATTTTGTGGTGATCTTTGTATAATCATGGTCATTTTTGAAATGTGGATTGTGTGAATATGGCCTCTAGTTGTTTATCACCTTGTATTTTCTGCTCTGTTTAGTGAAAACAAGATTTGAAGGCAGACCAAGACCAGCCCTCCCGACCCAAACATCACCAGACCTGAACACAGCTGACCAACCAGAGGTGAGGCAACAATTTAAGCTCAAGTCTACATAAAGATTTTATTAATAAGTTGTACACATATTCTTAGGAACTTAAATTGTTGCCAAGAGAGTAAATTTTGTCTGTTGTCCGATATATAAAGAAACATTTTGCTGCATGTATGATCATGTGTTTGAGTGTAATCATGACAAAATGTGTTTTAAGTAATTTGGTTTCCTTGTCTTTCAGATGTGACATACTCAATGATACCTCCAGCAGGACTGCTAGAAACTGAAGAGAGAAAGAGACATCAACAACTGACTGTAACCAATATAATGCAATGTGCATTATAATCTACACAATGTACTAGTCCAGACCCATTCTTTTAACATGTGTACAGCATTGCAGTTGTTGGCAAATATCTATGTGTACCTTCACAGAAGAAAAATATTGTTTTTGTGATTCTGATTCTTCTCCTTCTCCAAACAAAAATGGTCAAGGAATTGGGCCAGATGGCTGTCACCATGGCAACTGGTGCTGTAGCAGACACCCTGTGGTGTCAGATTACATTTTGGAACAAGTACTTGTGTCACCATATATATGAATGTGTTTGAGTCAGAATAAACAGAGGAGTAGCTTGTAAGGTTATTATATCTGAAAGGTAAATATTATGGATTTGCTTTGCAAATGTTACCTTTCTAGTTTCAACCTTATTCACTGCCATCAGCAGTTAAAGATGAATTAAGTGTAACTTAAAGGTGCTCAAGAAAAAACTGTAAGGCTATCACTTCAGAAAAAGATGTCAAGCATGAAAATAGAGAATATAATAAGTTATATAAGAATATTATTATATTGACAAAATACAAAATACAATTTTCCATGTATTAATGTCTATCATTATTGAACATTATCATATGCATATTTGTCCTTTCATTAATCAGTTTTGTAAGGCCTTTGTTCCATACTGTGGCAAGAAATAAACATTGAAATGATCTTTACAATCATGCACTTCCTACTGGTTGTGTTGTCTTCACTTTTCTTGTTGATGAACACAGAACAGGCAGAAAACACTGACCAAAATAATATCTAGGAAGGTAAAATAAGTAGATGTACTAAATGTGCCAACACGCATATAACACTGAGTAGGATCTTGAACTGTGTGCTGTCTACGTGAAAAATGTGGGCAAATTTTTGGGATCCGTACGGGATCCAACGGATTTGGGCGCACGCAGACACGACCTTGCACCAAGGAGCTTTCATCACAACTCGTATAGATATTCGGTGTTATGTACATAACATAACTTTGAAATAGATGCACGGTGTTTACGTTAGATACAAACAATTACAGTGATGAAAGCTCCTTGCTTGCACTTAAACGTCCATGCAGAACTTCTATTTCTCTGCGTGCGGTCTGCGGATTCACCCCCCACCCATATGAGCCAGCGATGCGCGTTCCCTACGTACTGTAAGTAAGCAGCACGTATAAGTACGGCCTGCACACGGTAACGTGACAATTGCAAAGAGATGGTACGATGCAAACATGTTTTTCTACCTCCATTGTACAACTCACCACTTGCGCAACGAACGATGCACGCAACCGCTCCCGGCCAGGCGTGGCGTGCAGACCACATTCTTACACCTTGCGCAACCGTGACGGGTGATCCCACCATGTCACAATGCGTCTGAAGGTCTAGAGGTCAACAATGCAACAAACGACAGTACAATGTACTCCTGTACATCTTAACACACCTGGCCGGCACTGTACTAACGATCTTTCTTAAGTTTATTCTTCATTCAGGCATATTCAGCCATCAATGGCCATATAAGATAAAACACATAGAAATACACATAATAACGGCCATTAAAGTACAATCTTTATAAGAATACAGACGGACCCAGACATTGCGGAATTATAAGAATTTGTTGAGGAAGATTACATCGGAGTTGAGAACAGATTGGGTCATGTTTTTTGAGTTGTACAGACGAGGTATGAACGGAAAACAATATGTTTGCGCCATGTAGCGTTAAAGGTGTCTGTCATATGGTAAACAAACATTTCACTGGCGCTGCAAACTCTGGGTAAAGACATTAACGTTATGGTGCGGAAATGATTCTTATAGGCAATTTGACACGTTGATACAACTCTAGTGCTAGCGGAGTCCCATAACTGATCTCATAAACGCACTGTGTTTTTTTTTCGAAGTGACGCATCTACGACTAGTATGTAGCCCAGTGGATAAATGTTAATGAAGGTTACACTGCTTGGAGTCAACCTGTTGCCACAACACACGCCATGTACGTGAGTGTTGTTGGGTACGCTTTTAAGGCCTTGGGTTTCGCCATGGTTTCGCTTGGGTTCCGCTGAAACATTTCGGTTTCAGCGGAGGGATACAAATTCTCACCGTGTATGTACGGTACACAATGTCACCGCTCATTATTTCACCATTTGAGAAGGGATTGCGCTTATAATTAGTACAATTATTCCTATATACCAGTACGAAGACATGCTAAGCTTTGTGTTTTTTTTGACGCACTTGAAACCCCACTATTAAACGTGTCGCCGATTATTTGTTCATGTCGGCTGCCGGTTTCTTTCCTTATCGCGGAATCCTACTTGTTTTACATAAGGGAGTGAAGCGACAACTTGTACGCGTCGGGGACGCCTTCCACAACCAAGGAGCTTTAAACTCCTCGATACAACGGAGGTCCCAAGATGAAGAGGAACGAAAGCTGCGTTACCTCGAAAATTGCCCCCAAAATTGCTAAACCAGCTGCAGCATACGTACAGGAAGGAAATATGGCCGCAGCTCCCGGCGAACAGGGGCGAACACCAGCCGAAGGACCAAAGGTGATACCATGTCTTGTGGACTTAAGGCCTTTAAATTTTGCATATTTCGTTTCTATGACAATCACTCGTGATCTTTATTTGTAATCGGAAACAGATTCATGCACAGATACATAGTCATGCACAGATACAGATCCATGTACAGATATACAGATAAAGACTTTCCGAGTAGCCACAGTCCCTACACCTGAGTGAGGGTCGAAGTTGACACGGTAGCCTTCGCGTGGATTTGTTTAAGGTGTATAACAGGTTGTGAATCTGAGACCCACACACTTGAGCATCCGTCCTCCCCAGTGGATCCATATCAAGGGAGACGTGCTGGTTCCTGGAGGGGGGGGGGGGGTCGAGACCCTTAGCTTTCCGCTCACTAGCTAGTGACAGGTGCCGATGGTCTGAATGAGGTAACTGCATTGGTGCAAGTTAACATACTTCCGTTTATTGTAATCTCCAAGCGGGTTGACTCGTTGCGTTTTCCCTAGCTGTTCGTTTCCCGGTCAAACTGCCTCTCGACACAGAAATTGACAGTGCTGTGCATATCTGGTCGCGACGCTGCACTTCATGATAGTGTAGTACGTAGCGGAAGTAAGTACAGATATCTCAAGCACACCGCCTAGACGGCATAACGTTACCATTGTAGAGAATAAGCCAGTGTTCCCTGTTTACTACAAAAACACAAGAATTTCACACTATTTGTAGTCAGCCATTCCACATGTAGTAAGTCACCTAGCCAGTTTTACGTTTCATGGGTGCAACAACTGCCGTTAAATGTCAAATGGTAAAATTAGACTTCCTGGTGTTGTATGCGGGGTCATGAGAAGTGCAGCCGACGCACTGAGCACTGAGGCGGAAACTGTATTCAAACGCCAGTACAATGTACTCCAGGACCTGTTTATCTAAACTGTGCATACCTGGTCGGCACTGTACTAACGATGTTCCTTAAGTTTATTCTTCATTCAGGCATATTCAGCCATCCATGGCCATATAAAATAAAACAAATAGAAATACACATAATAACGGTCATTAAAGTACAAATTTTATAATACATGTAATACAAACGGACCCAGATATTGCGGAAGAATTTGTTCCGGAAGATTACATCGGAGTTGAGAACAGATTGGATCAACTCAGTCTGGAGTTGTACAGACGAGGTATGAACGGAAAGCAATACTGTTTGCGCCATGTAGCGTCAAAGGTGTCTGTTCTGTCATATGGTAAACAAACATTTCACTGGCGCTGCAAAATCTCATTGATTTTGGATTTTGAAAGGAAACAAGATTTGTGAAACTTTGTTTGGTTTTTGACAAATGCTGAAATGCACAATGGTCAAAATCTCAAAAAAGAACCATAAGACATACCGGTAAGGACATTAACGATATAGTACGGAAACGACTCTTTGATACTGGAACAACTCCAGTGCTAGCGGAGTCCCATAACTGATCTAGAAAACGCACTGCTTTTTTTATGTAGTCCTGCATGTGTATAAATGAATGTTACATCTGCTTGGAGTCTACCTGTTGCCACAACACATGCATGTACGTGGCGTTGCTAGGTACGCTTTTAAGGCCTTGGATCTTGACCTTTCGGTTTCAGCGGAGGGACACAAATTCTCACCGTGTATGTGTACACAACGTTTGAGTTACCGTTCTTTATTTAACCATTTGAGAAGGGATTGCGCTTATAATTAGTACAATTATTCCAATATACCAGTTCGGAGACATGCTTGGCTTTTGTTTCTTTGATGCACTTGAAACCCCACTAACTCATGTCGGAGAGATCGCTACAGGTTTCTTTCCTTATCCCGCATCATCGCGGAATACTACTTGTTTTACATTTATAAGGGAGTGAAGCGACAACTAGTAGTACGCGTCGGGGACGCCTGCGACAACCAAGGGGCTTTAAAGTCCTTGCTACAACGGGCGTCCCAAGTTGAAGATTGTTATTTAGCTGGAGCCAAAAATTGCTAAACTTTCAGCATACGTGCAGGCGCGAAGTATGGCCGCAGCTCCCGACGAAGGAAGGATACGAACACCCGGAGCAAAGGTGATACCATGTCATGTAGACTTTAAGACCTTTAAATTTTGCATACTAGTATTTCGTTTGAAGTTCAAATGACTGTGAGGTATCGCTGGGTATGAACTGCATTGGTGCAAGCTAGCACTGGCCGATGCCATTACATACTTCCGTTTATCATAATCTCCAAGTGGGTAGACTCGTTGTAGCCTCTACCAGGCTTCGGGAGGCGTCTGGAAAGAGTAGAAACCGACCAAATAGAGAGAGATAACATGCCAAGGGAGTTAGTCTGCGGCGGAGACTGTATTCAGGCGCCGACCAAACAAACATCATTATAAATCAAGGACTTTATATAGAATACACATTGTATAATGTCTTTGATTGTACTTAAAAGTTCGAATTATACGGTCTCAAACGCACACATGACGCATCCCTCTACAATTCAGCACCGTAGTTTGTTTTCACCTCAGCGGCTGTCCGAGTGCACGGAATAATGCAGCTTTCTTAATTAAGCCCGGCGCTACTTTGTGCTCGCCCAAAAATACCGCGTATTAATAGAAGAAATAGAAGAACTTTATTGCACAACGTTAAGTGGGCATGGGTACCACAGCTGCACAGTACCGTGCTAGTGCCCTGCGTTAGCGTGCCAGTGGCTAACTGCTACAACGTAGGTTTGCCCTCGGAATATGGCCACAGCTTCCGACGAAGGGGGGCGACAATCAGCCGGAGGAGAAAAGGTGATACGAAATGCCTTGTGTGCCATATACTAGTACTTGTATAATAGGCTGTATAATACTTGTATAATAGACATCTGTGACAAGGCATTTCGTTCCACAACAATTTTTCACCGTTCCACACCCATTTCTGTTCGTTCCGAAGGAAGAGAAATTGGTGTGGAACGGTGAGAAATGGTTGTGGAACGATGAAAATTGTTGTATACTATTTATTTATTGATATTGCAACAGTGCAATACACGCGGAACAGAGGCAGCTGTTGCTGGTGTTATGTCCCGCACATAGAAACGAATACTGGACAGACAATACTCATTTTCACTTGAGTCTAGTGGGAAAAGTCGTGTAAAGTGCCTTTCCCAAGGGCACAAGATCGGTGGAATGTCAGGACTCGAACTCGGGACCTCTTGATTCCGAGTCACGCACGCTGCCGTTGCGCCACACGACCCCACTGTATACTAGAAATGGGTGTGGAACGGTGAAAAAGTATTCTTGTATACAAATGGCGAAGAGGAATGGATGTGGAACGGTGAAAAATTGTTGTGGCAGTTGTCGCAGCTGTTGTCTCTGTGGGATTTCGCATCAATAGCCCCTGCCTAGGTCCGCCGCCTTGTAGAGCGCGACCTCATCACGTTTCCGGATTTTCTAGGTGTTCCTTGATCCCATCCATGGCCACATTGAGGTAGATCCACTGAGTGTGAAGATCATCGACACCCCCCAGTTCCAGAGGCTGAGAAACATCAAACAACTGGGAGGCGGTTACTGGGTCTACCCGGGTGCCTGTCACAACAGATTTGAGCACAGCTTAGGGTAACGTTGATATAGTAGTAACATCACTTTGTATTATCATATTAGTAGATAGGCAAGCTGCATATACGCAATACTTCTTCCTACTCTCGATTTCTGCTATAGTTATACTAAGTCTTATTTACTTCTTTGTCCCTGGTGAGACATATACATGTAAGGCCATTAGCCTGACTAATCGCGCTCCTGGCGGCCGGCCGCCCCGAAGTTGCCGCCCCCCAAAACCGGGTCATTAACCTCCGGCCGAGAGCTTGTGTAACACAGGCTAGTAAGGCCATGACGCCGTCTTTTTTTCTGTTTGGGTCAGCTAACAGGTACTAGTGGTACCGGTAACTGTTTTGAAATAAATAGACGAATGCTTATTTCCCCTTTGTTTAATTACGAATCTTGATAAAAAGGCTCTTTGAGATTGAATGATCACAATACATGTTCAACTATTTTCCATCTGCAGTGTATACCACTTAGCTGGCTGTCTGATAACTGAGATACAGTCAAAGCAAGGTGATCATCTTCCGATCACTGATGAGGATGTGCTGTGTGTGAAGATAGCAGGGCTCTGTCATGACTTAGGTCAGTACCGTGACAGATGTAACATTAACATAAATGCTATTTCTGTTTGATTACTTGATAGTCATTTATCTGGAAAGCACTGGGAATTTATGACACTTGTTTAGGCCAATTGATGATCGTTTTCTTTCAACAAATTATACATCTATGATTACATTAACTACTAACACATACCGGTAGTGTCGTATGCTCAGATATGGTAGCATTAACCTAGGAACATATTCACCAAATTTTACTTACCCTGCCACTTAGGCTACATGTGTTAAGTTCACCTTCATTTGTTTTTCTTCATTATCTGATGAATTGATTGGTTTGAAAGTGTCTGAACTACCGTTAATCTTTGCATTATTCAGGTCATGGACCATTCTCCCATCTGTTTGATCGTCAGTTCATGAAACAGGCCGTACCTGGCTGCACATGGGAGGTACATATCTTTACCTGTGTCATTGGCAAACAACTGAAAAGTAGAGATTTGGTTGCCTTAATCTGATGTTGATTTTTTGTAGAAGTGACAGTCTGCAAGATATTGAGGAAAAAGGTTAATATTATGATGATCACTAACAACATAGCGAGGGAACCCCTGTGCAGTATGTCATGTCTACCACATAGTTGCTACATATTTATCACAACAAACAATTTTCTACTCCATGAAATGAATCTTAGCATGAAGACGCTTCCACTGCCATGTTTGACCACCTCATCGAGCAAAATGGTATCAAGTTGGAAAAGTATGGTCTGACAAAGAAGGACCAGGTCTTCATCAAGGAATTGATAAAACAACCAGCTGAGGAACAACCAGCTGAGGAACAACCAGCTGGGGCACAACAAGCTGGGGCACAACCAGCTGGGGCACAACCAGCTGGGCCACAACCAGCTGGGGCACAACCAGCTGGGGCACAACCAGCTAGGGTAGGTCTACTCAGTTCAGTGGTATTGCATAAAAACTTGGTAAATATATATTTATCCAACAGTCTATCGACAACATTTTGTGGACATTAAGAGTTTGATACTGGAGAAATGACATGTTCCATTGTCCCTTACAGGTGTGGCATTATAAAGGAAGGGATGAAGAAAAGGGCTTCTTATACCAGGTATTTGATCCAAGTACAAATGTATTGCAACAGCATTGTTTCTGTCCTTGGTGCTGAAAAGCAACCATTCCTTCCAGAAGTCAATTTTTTTAGCAAGGAATACTTTGAATTTCTTAGTACTGATATTGCCCTTGGTAATGACACATAAAAGTCAAATTGAATTATCTTGACAATCTGTGCTCGCATTATGAAAGAAATGGCTGAAATAAGTTTATACTAAGTCTTATACATGTAACATAGCCTTGTCTTCCTCTTGCAATATTTCTCTCCAAAGTAGCCAAGCTACTGATTATCTTGTTTTGATTCTATTTTGATATATTCAGATCATTTCAAATTCTGTTAATGGTATGGATGTGGACAAGTGGGACTACTTTGCTAGAGACAGTCACTACACAGGTCTCCCGAAGAGGTTTGACCACATGCGGCTCATCCAAAGTGCCAGGGTCATCAAAGTGGATGGCAAATGGCAGATCTGTTACAGGGACAAGGTTTGTTGCATAATGCACTGTAGGTTACACGTGACAAAGACTGACAAAAATGACAAAGATCCAAATTGTGGAGCTTAAACCTCAAAATCCTATTCATATATTCATTCATTTATGGTGGAGATTCTAGATGTATTATGAAGACTGGGATAAAAAAGAAGAATTTAGACACTGATGATGAGCTAACCTGGTACATGTACATCAAATTGACTGCTAGCTCTATGGAAATCCTGTCGGAATGCTTACTTCTGAAGAGTTTTGAGGAAATATACCCTGTATTGAAACAAAAAAGCTAATTGTCTCTCTTGCCATAAAATGCAATAATAAATAAAACAATCATGAACGAATGCATGGTGTTTTTTCCAGGCGTGGCTCAATGTGTACAACATGTTCCACACCCGAGCCTGCCTTCATCATGAGTGCTATCAGCACAAAACCACAGTTGCTGTGGAGATGATGTAAGTTGCACTAGCTGGTAAAACATACATAACTGTAATAATGTTTTAGCACTTTAAAATGTGATACATTAATTGATATTGTAACCTCATGCACACACAATTTGGATTATTATCCTCTGTATTTATGTTTCACTTCAGTTCTGACCATTTAATTATCAACTGTTTTGTTTTTAAGGATTACAGATGCTTTGCTGAAAGCTGATGATAAGTTTCAAGATAAATACCAGCTGCAGTGAGTAGAATTAACACCTAATACAAGTTGTCTTTACATCTGATCATTTTTGGAAAAAAAGGCAAAAAGTGCCTTTCCCAATGGCACAACATTGAGAAGTGTATTGAATACTAGTACAGAATCTTTACTTTAGATTTTGAATTCCAGTCTGGCCACTGAGTCACTTTAAGGTAAGGTTGGGAGTGTTTTGAGATCAAGTAACATTAATCAGTGAGTATTGGATGCATCATTACAATTTGTATTGGAACAGTCATTCAGGTTTTGATTGATCTCTACTACATATTAGACTCTTAAAAGTGGCATTTGCGTTGCTTTAGTAACAATTTCTTGTGTATCTCATTACCTGGAACTTTAACTTTCATCGAAGTAAGCTCCTTTGTGCACCCTATTCTTAGCATGAAAATTTCGGAGGCATGCCAGCACATGGACACCTACGCCAGGTTAACAGACAGCATCTTTGATAAGATACTGTACTCCAAGGGTGACAAACTAAAGGAGGCCAGAGATATCCTGGAAAACCTTGCGAAAAGAAAGCTGTACCGCTTCATTGGTCAGACACAAGCCAGGGATGAGTTTTTTGAAGAGGTGAAATTACCTTGAACTTCTTTTCACAATATCTTGAGATTGTTGGAGAAGTGTTTTTACAAAACCACAATATATTTACCTATCAATGTTAGAATATTGTGAGATTGTGTTTGATATGTATTGTATTTGAAATACATGTACATGTAATTCAAATATCATTTTGTATTTGATATTGGTAAAATAAATGCTAACAGTCAAGAAGTTTTTTTGTAATGGCTTAATGAATTGACGATGTTGTTTTTTATTAGTCTGGTCCATCAACCAAGGAAATCGCTAAAGCTGTCACAGACCAAGAAAAAATCAAAATCACAGCTGAGGATATTGCGGTCATTGTGAGTTCAGTTTTGTCTTTTGAAAGTGTACTGTACTGAAGGTACTGGAAGCTGTGAATTTTGGAAATGACATAATCAGATGGGTCAAATTACTATATACAGATATAAAAAGTTGTGTGCTTAACAATGGCTTTATATCTCCCTGGTTTAATATTCATAGAGGTGTAAGACAGGGAGATCCACTGTCATCCAGTCTGTTTATAATTAGTGTTGAAATGTTAGCCTCAGCTATTAGAGCCGACGTAAACATCAACGGTCTACAATTGTATGACAGGACACACAAATTATCCATGTATGCGGACGATATGACATCGTTACTCCTAGATATAGCTTCTGCAATGCACCTATTAGTTACTTTAAATCGGTTTTAAAAATGCAGTGGTCTCGATTTGAATTGTCTGGATAGGCTCAAATAAAGAAAGACAAGATAAACCACTACCCATTCGCTGGCCTGATGGTCCTATCAAAGCACTTGGTACACATTTTGGTCATGACAGACAAAGGTGTTATAAGGAAGACCTTGATAAAAATTATGCAAAAATGGTGCAAGGATGTAATATATGGAAACAGCGAAATCTGACATTGATTGGCCGGATTTTGATTGTGAAAACCATTGGTATCTCTAAGTTGATATATATCTGTTCAGTTATGCATGTCCCTACCCATGGCCATTTTGTAAAACAAGTAAATGGATATATATTCAGGTACATCTGGCGAGAAAAAACTCCAAAAGTAAAAATGAAGACACTGATTGGCAACAAATGTCAAGGTGGGCTTAAAATGATTGATTTTAATATAATGAATAAAGCTCTAAAAGCTGTATGGATCAAAAGATTTATAACTGACCCGTCAAAAGAAAAAGAATACTTGTTTGCAAGATGGGGAGGCTTCTTGTTGTTCCGATGTAATTACTCCACTTCACTCTTAAATCTTAATGACATGCCACCATTCTACAAAGATATTGTAACTACCTGGGAAGAAATTATCCATTATGAACCAAAAACACACAGACAGATATGCTCACAAGTCCTGTGGAATAATAGGTATATTTTAGTCGAGAATGTACCAGTGTTTTACAAAAGCTGGATAGATGCTGGCATTATTTGTGTACTAAATGATTTGTTGTATGGGGATGGATCATTTCTAACAATCAATGACTTACATAAAACACCGAGCAGATTATTATTGGAATGAGCAGAGCACTTTGGACTAAAGCCTCTGACCGTTTACAGCTTAGAGGTACATATCCAATCTTTTGTCAAAAACTTCTCTGTTACATAGCGGATCATAATGACCCCCAGCGGGGGTCTTCACGCTTCGTTGAAAATTGAAAAATCTCAAGATTTGTTCCAAAGATCTCAATATTTTAGACGAAATCTTGAGATCTTATAAGACAATCTTGAGATTTTTCATGACAATCTCCAGATCTTTCAGAAAATCTTGAGATAAAAACAAAAGGTCTTAAGATCTTTCCAAATGTTTTCAAAGTATCTTGAGATTTTTCCATAGCATCTCGATATGCTTTTAAAAAATATCAAGATTCTTGAAGAGATCTCAAGATATTTTTTAAAGCATTTCGAGATGCTATGGAAAAATCTCAAGATGCTTTGAAAACATTTGGAAAGATCTTAAGACCTTTTGTTTTCATCTCAAGATTTTGTGAAAGATCTGGAGATTGTCATGAAAAATCTCAAGATTGTCTCATAATATCTCAAGATTTTGTCTAAAATATTGAGATTTTTCAATTTTTTACGAAGCATGAAGACCCCCACTGGGGGTCATTATGATCCGCTATGTAATAGAGAAGTTTTTGACAAAAGATTGAATATGTACCTCTAAGCTGTAAATAGTCAGAGGCATTAGTCCAAAGTGCTCTGCTCATTCCAATAATAATCTGCTCGCTGTTATAATCTATATGGTATAACCATGGATTCAAAGCAAATAATGAAATACAATTCTATAAGAGTAGCCATACCTAAAAAGTGGAAAGATATAATTAAAAACAATGGAAGAAAATGCACCCCTAACAACATTATTGAATATACCGAAAAGATACATCCCTTAACAACAACATGCAAACAATTATATGATATTCTTATTCAGAAACAAGTCGTGCCTCCAAGTAGAGAAACAGAAATTATACACAAAATTGGTTAAGACAACATCGAGAGAGCCTATACTGCTGCCTTTGTCGCTACAAGGGAAACCAGATTACAATGCTTTCAGTATAAGATTATCCATCACTACCTAGCTACAAATAGTTGGCTAAGAAAAGCAAATCTGGTACAAACGGATCGATGTAACAATTGTACAGATAAGCTGACACTATCGAACATTTATTCTTGTATTGTAAAGAAGCAAAAAAATTTTGGAAAGAGTTCTGTTACTGGTGGAAACGATGTACCAAACAAGACCTAATTGTAGACGAGAAGATTATTATTTATGGTATAATTGATAACCCTCGCCATGTTAGTACACTTGCACATTGTCTTCTTATCGCTAAATATTGTATATACACATGTTTCATAACAAACTCTAAACCAAAACTCTCAATCTTCAAGCACAGACTAAATCAAATTATAGAAATAGACGATAATGAACAATGGGAACATTTTATGTGATATCATTATATATAGACAATCCCCAGATAACGTTACCTTAAAAAAACTGTCCTTGATGTATCATCCCACACGATTGTACATGTATGTCAACTATGTATATCTTTTTAATGTAACACTGTGAATATTAATAAAGTTTGAAAAAAAAATGTAATTCAAATATCATTTTGTATTTGATATTGGTAAAATAAATGCTAACAGTCAAGAAGTTTTTTTGTAATGGCTTAATGAATTGACGATGTTGTTTTTTATTAGTCTGGTCCATCAACCAAGGAAATCCCTAAAGCTGTCACAGACCAAGAAAAAATCAAAATCACAGCTGAGGATATTGCGGTCATTGTGAGTTCAGTTTTGTCTTTTGAAAGTGTACTGTTTCAATCAGTATGAACCAAGGAGACATTAAATTGGTCAGTACCTTGCAGTATGACAGATCTCTGCTTCCTCTGATCTGATACCAGAGAGGTATAAAAATGATTAGACTGTCACTTGACAGAGAAGTGTGCTGTTTTCCTTCTGTCTCTTACATCCAATCGTCATGTAAACTTTGATGTTCCTTACAGAGGGTGAATGTGAACTATGGCAAGGGAAAGAACAATCCTGTGGACGATGTCAGATTCTGGACCAAAGACAACCCTGACAAGGCCATAAAACTGGAGAAGGAAGAGGTGATTCAATCAGTAAATTCTTTATCAGGTTACACAATTCATTTTAATATTGTCTGCTCAATCATTGTAGCTGGTCAGGAATATGGGTTAAGGAATCTTGGGTTGTTAACAATATGCAGATGAATTGCAGAACAATGTGCTATCTATATCCTTGTTTCAACTTAATGTGCTGATGAGAGTTGGTTCTTTCCTTGCAATCAGCTGTCTGAGATGTTGCCCCAAAAGTTTGCTGACAAGTTTTGGAGGGTGTACTGTAAGAAGCAGCTGGACAAGGAAAGCATCAAAGAAGTGGAGAGGTAAATCAAAGGCCTTATTCCCTTATCACTTTGTTGAAGTTTAGGGCAAGTTACATATTGTATGTAAGTTTTTGTAACAGCAACCATTGTTACATGAACATGTTAACTTTTAAATCTATTTATTGCATAATGTTCTTTGCCATTTTGTAACTGACAGTGCTTCTATATTCCAACAAATGCATTGAAAATTCAGTTGTGTCTGAAGAAATTTGGCACGTCTGCAAAGTTGATTTTAAATAAAAACTTGAATGATTGACTTAATGAAAGACTTCACACATCTTGTATTGGAGATTGACTTGGACACTTTTTCACAGGCGCTTCGAACTTTTCCTGTTGAAGAAAAAAGACATGACAACACCTCAAAAGGTCAGTTCAGATACTAAAGACAGGGCCTACCTACTTGATACTGGCTACTTCATATTTAGCATCATGATATCATATTGGATTTTAAATACTTTTTTAAGCCACTTAACCCCCTTGGTAACCTATTACAAAGCATTTCTGTGAAAAAATTGCTTGGATGTTTTTGCAAGAAAGAAGACCACTCTACATGTACATGTACCACAGCATATGGTGAACTAAATCTAAACATTTAACACCTGTCCATGGTATCCCTGAGCCCTCAGAGACATACTTTTCATCAGTACAGCTAGAGACTACAGCTGTCTTAGATGTCAAAGACCATCAGAAGGCACAGTGTTCCAGACTTGCTCAACTTTGTTTTGTAATAATACTTGAAAGTATTCTACCTGCATTCACATAATGGTAATTTCAAACTTTCAGCAAGTTGTACCAGGAAGCAAGGATCTTTCTGGGCAGGGGGCCAGGAGAGACCTTACAGCAGACCTGGAGGATGCCAGCGCAAAAGATGACTGAAAATCGTGTGACATGTTTTGGACTACTGTGTGCAACTAGCTATATATGGTGATGGTATGTGGTGTAATGATTGAGATCATAATGGTTGTATACAATGTATGTAGTAGCAATCCTGTCAAAAATGCCTAGCAGAACTATAGCAGAGGAGGATCATATCATAGGTCACATTGATGTGTTTTAAGTTGATTTGGATGCACATTTAACTTCAGATTGTCTCTGATTTTGTACTGCTTGGGTGTTAAATTTTAACAGACCTGAATCATGATTTAGCAAATACTGCTGTAGGCTTTCATACGCAAAATCCTAGACAAGTTTTAATGATGATGTACGAGACTTAGAATAGACTGCTTTTCTCTTCATTCATTTTACATGTTTAAGAAACTAGCAATGGAAATCACTAGACACAAATGAATTGAGAGCTGAACTTTTCAATGGCTGATTTTAATGAAAAAGTGTACTTAAAATTTAGAAGCAAAACAGATATACAATGTAGGTTTGAATGCTACTATTTGGGCATAGGCATATTCTTTTTAATGGAAGCAAGGTGCTTACTAGAACAAATAATGTTAAGAGTTGTGCCTTGATAGTACAATGTATTTACAAAAGGAGACACTAAAAACTTTCACCCATTGATAGCAATGGTAAGACTATTTGATGATGACTTACATCAAGGAATATGTACAGCTGATACTCTGTATCTATATACTAACCTTCTGTACAACCAAGAGTAGCTTTCTCACCATTGTCTACAATAAATGTGCTCTTCAATTTGTATAGTTCTTCCTTCATATTTACACTGAAGCACAATCAAGCGATTTTACCTGGAAGTCAAAGTTGGATGTTTAACACTATACATATAAGTAATGTGAAATGAGTGTAACTGAATTCCCAAGTACCACAAGTGAGGTTGTTTACAGAACTATCATACAGAACTCTCCTCTGACACACTATAATAACTACTGAAACTGAGCCTCCAGCGGCTGTTTCCAGGGACTGATGTGCTGACTGGCCATCTGCATCTGGTACCACGTCTTCTTATGGGTCTTCAGGGCCATCTGGGATCATAAAAGATAATATATATGTTTTATCTTATGACATTATACAGGCTAGGACATGGTACTGCGCAAAAGAAAAAGTGCAGTTCAAAGATGACGAAAAGCATTTAGCAGTTAAAAATAATCTAAAGAAAAGGCATGAAAAGATACATGGTGCTATACAACATGCCTTGACAGATTTTATTTGATACGGCTTACTAGTTGTACTTCAAAGGGGTGAAGATCTTTATCTTATAGTTCAGCAATTTCAGCCTGAACATACTGAAGTTTTCCACACATAAATCCTATTCCTTCACACCGACTGGATGCAGTTGTACAGGTACACTCTCAGGTACTTTCTCAGGATTAAAGAAGGACATTAGAGAGCGCAGCCTTGCCAGTGTAAACCCGCTGGATAGAGCTGCATGGAGGTGCAGTGTGAAGACCAGTACTACTAGCCGACTGCTGCCGACCCCTGTGGCAGGGACAACAGCAGCAAAATACCAGTAATCAAATCCTGGATAGAAAGTGGGGTCGTGTGGCGCAGTCGGTAGCGCGTTTGGCTCACACCCGAGAGGTCGTGGGTTCGAACCCTGCTCATGTCACCGATCTTGTGCCCTTGGGAAAGGCACTTTACACGACTTTCCTCACTTCACTCAGGTGTTAATGAGTACCTAGCTTCGGCTAGGGACGTCCCTCGGATAGGACGTTAAATGGAGGTCCCGTGTTTGGGAGAGCCACACCCCACGCACGTTAAAGAACCCACCGCACTTATCGAAAAGAGTAGGGGACCTTCCCGGTGTGAGTGGTTCAAACCTTACAGTCTGGTCTCGGGGTTGACATCTTTGAAGAGGTGATAGTCACCTGTTATGTCAATCCTTCCACAAATGTGGTAAATCGTCATAAAATAAAAAATAAAATAAAGTGAGTGAAGGAAGGTTTGAAGAGCTTACCTCTGCGATTTCCACCTTCCTCTCCCAGCTCTTGACAGTTTTCTGCAGCTCGTACAGGTCGGCCTTGTCCTGTACATAGTCCAGTACGTCAGGTACACGGTAGTCTGCCAGCTGTGTACGGTACTTCTTGTTCTCCTTTTCTGCCTTCGATCTCTCCTAATATGGAAGCAAAAAAGGCAAGTACTTGAGCAATGGGGTCTAACATGGTTGAAGCTACTGACAGATTTTCATCCAGCAAGTGTAACAGCTAAGAAGAGAGGGTGATTTTCCATCACAATCATAGCAGAATATTACTTCTAAACAATTTGAAATACCAAAAAAGTTTAAAAGAAGACAGTATGGTTAATGAACCAGGTTCATAGTACAAAAAATCATACAATTTGTAATTTTTCTTCATAGATGTGATACCTTATCACTATACATTTTGTAACAAGTCTTAAAACAACACAGTACTTCAAGCTTAGTTGTTATGTATGTATTTTATGTGTAATGTATGTTTTTCCAGTGCCCCAGTGTAAAGAAATGCTGTGAAATGCAGCCAGCACCTTGGCTTAACATACTGCACCTGCGCCAAACACGGATTTTTCACAGTTTTCCTTGGACGTTTGCATCAGAACTTTGCCAGTTGCAAAATATATCTTTTCAGACACAACATTTAGAAACTATACATGTAGATGGTATCTCATCCTATAAATGCACCCTTAAAAAGATCTGCCTACATGTTGTGCCACACTGGGTAGATTAAATAGAAACAAAAATCAGCTCACCTCCTCCACGGAGTTCGTCTCTGCGTCTATCCTGGTCAGCATGTCCTGTCTGGAACTGATCTCTGACTTCAGCCTCTCTGACTCCGCTGTCAGCGTGTTCAGCTTTTTCTGCAGGGAAAATTTCATTGTTAAAAACTTTGGAGGCATTTTTAAAAGACTTGTATGATGAAATTCTTATGGTAGACTGAAATTTGAACCTACAGGGTAACATCACAGAATTTCTTGATGAAGGATGTATCAAAATTTATATTCAAGAAGGTTTCACAACAAAACTATTTTTGATATACATGTACATGAGTTAAGACATTTAGTACTAGTATCTAATCAATCCCTTAGTCTAATCATTGATCTTTTTCCCAGCTTTTTCTGTGGGGAAATGTTTCAGTATTGTCAGTGAACAATCCACTGTCTGTTTTACAAGAAAAGTACTGGAAAAAACTTGACAGTATAGAAGATGCAGAAAGGTAACATTTGCAAAGCAATCTCGTAATGTTTTCCTTTACATGGTCTAGCCTAAGAAACTACAGTACTGCTCTGTTTATACAAACACATGCATATAATAGATGGTGTCCATCTACTCCAACTCTGTTCTGCAAGTTGCTACATAATGTAACCCAACACCACAGGGTGTCTGCTACAGCACCAGTTACTATGGTGACATATCTCTGGTCCAGGTCATTGACCTTACCGGTATGTGTTTGGAGAAGAAAAACGGAGCAAAAACAAAATGTTTTCCTGCTGCATAGGTAAACATAAATGATGTTAAAAGTAAGGCTAAAAACAAACAAATATAGGAGCTAACCTTATAAGAGTTGAGGACCTGCATGGTGTTTCCTGCCATGAGTTTGAGCCGGAGCAGGTCCTGGTTGCGCTCGTCGATGCGCTCCAGGTACTGGGCGTTCTCGATCTTCAGCTGCTGGAAATCCACCTCATGCAGAACCTCACCCATCTCCTCTTTCTGTTAGGGAGGGACGGACAGGAAAACATTCAGTCTTTGGGCTCAAAATACTTTTATCTACATACCTGCACCGGTGAAGGTAACATTGAAAATTGCAAGCACCATTCAGACTATTACAAATGATGATCATAAGAAAACTGTTCGAGCTCCTCTTTCTGTCAGGGAAGGACGGACAGGAAAACAGTCACTCTTAGGACTCAAAATGATCTTATCTACATACCTGCACCAGTACAAGTAACACTGAAAATTGCAAGCACCATTCAGACTATTAGAAATATGTTCATACTAAAAACTCTTCAAGCTCCTCTTTCTGTCAGGGAAGGATGGAAAGAAAAATATAATTTCACTCTTCTCCTCTCAAAAAATACTTAGTTCTATATACCTGCCCTGGTGAAGGTAACATTGAAAATTGCAAGCACCATTCAAAACTATTAGAAAAACTGTTCAGGTTTGGAAATGACTTACCTGTTTTAGTTGAAGCTGCAACTTTCTCTTCTGTACTTTAAGGGAAGAATTCTTGAGGCGAAGTTTTTCTATCAACGTGTCCTGGAGAAGAAAAATGCCACATTGTTATGTTAACCCCTGGCACAATACACACCATTGTCATTGACATTGTACATGTAGTAATGAATAGCATTACAGATCTTTTTAGGCACATTTTGAAGGTGGCACAATTCCGCTGCTGTGGTAGACACCAAGAAACTCAACCATATAGTAGATTAAAGATACAGAACAATTTTGCCAATCATCTTACCTTAGCTCTTATTCTGTCCTCAAAATATCTGGTTGCCCTCTCTCCGACAACCTTCCCTGTGCGAGGGTTGACTCCCCCCTTCAGGATGTCCCTCTCAAACTCATACGAGGACTTCCTGATCTCTGACAGTCTGGTGTCGGCCTCCTCTATATGTGCCTGGAGAAGACATACAACATAAGTATTCTTTAGATTTAAAATCAAAACTCTTAATCGGGTATGATGTCTATGGTGGCAGCAAAACAAAAAATTTTGGTGTCACAAACAAACAAAAATTGTGCGAGCCCTTTATGTTGTGTAACATGCTCAATAAATTCAAAGTGATGCATTAAAAAGCTAATTATTATCTGTCTCCCTTAGTCTGGTTGACTGTTTTGATACAACAGATACAACTTAAAACTATACAAATTAAGTTTTGTTAAAAAACGTTTCAATAACCAAACCAAATGTATATGTACTTTATTTTCCGGTGATGATTGTTTGAATAATAAAATGAAACAAAACGTAGTTTACATTCTTCTAACTTGTTCCATTTTTTTAGGCCAAAGACAGTTACTCAAGCAACTGTATTTGGTGAATCTTATTACCTGGATGCATAATCTTCACCGATGTATGTTTTTTTTTTCTAACTTTTTAAGCATAGAACTGAGTTGAATAATGTTAAACTGACCTTGTGATTGTCTAAGACTTTCTCGGACTCCTCCTTAAACTTGTCGATGTCCTCCCGGAGCTCCTCGAGTTCCCGCTGCGCGATGTCGCACTTCTGTTCCGCAGACAGCTTCAGCAGACGCTCGATGGTCCCGCTCTTCGACTTCGATCTTCTCCTGTAAACAAAGAAAAGGGCATGCAGTGCTATGTATTAGTTTTGGCTGAAGATTACAGTCAAGGCTGCCCAATTAGCACTGAGCTTTTTTATGCACCCTGAGGCTTCAAGACGGTGGTTATACGAAGCTTATACATGACAGAAGGTCTTTAACTACCTGCTGTAAATTATTTTACATTCATGGTACTTCTACACTTGTTATCTTTCATGGTCACTACGAATGCATCATTACCGCAAACATGATAAGCCGGCTTTCTTTCTTCTGCACCTGCTGATACCACGAACATAAGTTCTGCGAATAAGTCTATTTTTATCAGACCATGAAATTTGCTACCGTGAAGTAATTTCCAGTGACTTAATGTTGGAATGGCCATCCTGACAGGACCGTAGCAGGTGAAAATCTCTACTAGTAGTTGAACGCTATGCTACCTCAACAAGCTATGGGACTGATAATATAATATTAGTGATGGAAGGAAATGTTGTAAACCCTTTGTGACACTCACCTGCCGCCGACAGTCCTGAGGTCCTGCATGGATGCGCTGGGCGTGGCGGTGACAGGTGTACTGGTGGAGGCCAGGCTGGAGTGCCCGCCATCTTTGGGCTCAACCCTCTTCAGAAACTTCTCAAACATCTCTGTCTCCGTTTGTAACACATCGTTGGATTGTCTGCAGGGGAAAAGCACATTGTTTATGACACTTTTATTTGCAGAGTTAGAGATTTGGGGTAACTATATTCTGAATCTGATCTGGTTGTAAGTTGTGACCAGTGTTAACGTATGATATGCCAAGCCAGAATTGATAACAGAATGGGACTAGTCTAAACTCTACAATCATATGACTTTTTAGAATTTTTTCAACAAGATTTACTGAATGATGATTGTGATGCAAACTTTAAGCAAATTCATTGTATTCAACAAGTAACACTTCTGACTTGTGGGAGTGGAGGTATGGCTATTAAATGCTGGTGCCTTCATTCTTGTCATAACTTATAAACTTTAAAGATATTTGACTTAAAAAATGATGTGATTTAAAATACTACTACACTCAGAGTAAATAGTCTATCTCCATCATCTTTCCAAATTCGAAATGTTATGTGAAATTCTGCTGCCATTTCATTAGGCCACCATCTATTATAACAGTTTTCCTAAAAACATAACCCCTTACCACAAATATTCGGAAATCTGACGTAGCAACTGTAGCATGAAGTTGCCCAAGTGAGTTTCAGGAGTTGCGTCAAAACAAAGGGAACGTATGACTTTTTGGGACCTAAAATATCGGTCCAGCGAACATTACTGTGGCAAAATGGCCCTCAAAAACAACTTACAGTGTGTCCTCTACCAGTTGGTAGAGCCTTTCGTCCGATAGCTCGCTGAGAGGGTCTGTATCAGGCTGAGTTCTGTGTCCTGTGTTGTCACACTCTCTGTGTCCGCCATGATTGCTGCCGTGTGATTCTGTAGGTCCTGCTCCGGTTGCTAGGCGGCAAGATCGTCCCCAGGGTACCCAGGCGCCGGTGTTGTTTCCATATGGGGAACCGGCACCCCTGGGACCGAGCTCGGTATCAAACCATTTTCAAACTCAAAAGGGGGGCCTTGTTGTGATAAGCTCTTTTGCTTAGACCAATAAAATTACAATTACATTCTTTCTTATATTTCTGTTACATTAAAAATAGAAATTTAATGTTGATGTTTTTGGTTTGCAACAAAATGATAAGTATTACAGAAAATATCTTAACCAACATATATATAAACTTACCTATAAATTTATAGTACAGTCCGTAGCGCAAACGTTCCCAACCTCGCAAAATCACGCGAGATAGAATCTATGTCAATGTTGCCTTGAGGGGGGCTCTCAATAGTGCCGAATTGCTAGGTAATCTTCCGGCGAGGTCGACGGTGCGGCGGGCTCGCGAAGGCGGCCATCTTTTGTGGGGTGTTTAATCGTAAGGCACCATTGTTTTAGGGCAAAAATCTCATCTTTTGCGACTTTCTGTGGGATCTTATGCACCCTGGTGGTTAGAAAATGTACTGACGCGTACGTTTGACCGAACTTTGGTGCGTAGCAAGCGACGAAAGCGAATTTCTGAGGGACTGAATTGTGTCGGCAGTCAAGCCTGTATCCGCCGTACCAAGCAAGAAAGAACAAGGAATGTGCATAGTTCATGCGTTCAGACCGAAATTGCCTTCATTTTTAGGTTTCCTCGGTACCTCTAGGACAAGATTTGGGTGTCATCTCGTCTTGCAGTTCGAGCGTCACTCTGCTGCGGGAGGTTGAAGAGCAAGTGGTTACTGGGACACCAAAAAAGGCCAACAACTGTGGCTGATTTTGTTCTGTTGAGGGAAGGTTCCAATATGGCTGTCCCTAGTCGCGCGCGCGTCTACGCAGATGTGAACACACACAGGCCGAGGGAGTACTGGGACTACGAGTCTCATGTCATTGAGTGGGGGTAAGCGACATTTTGAAAGATCTTTCTCCACTGCCACAGTTAGAGAAATGTGGTTATTTTTCATGCAAACTTGTACCTTAGAAAATGTAGTAAAGGATAACTTTTAGTACCATGGACAGAGATGACAAAGTGTTACTCTTCACATGATTCTTCAGTGATTGATGTACACCAGAACATAGCAATATTTTATCAGCATATTTGTGTTCCATACGGTTTATATTGTAGTCTGAACGTTTTTATATGGTTAGAAAAATACACAATTACTGTAGGATGTGATGTCACTGTTTTGCCCCCCTCCCCACTTGTGTGACAGATGTGATAAGAACAACGGTTTTTGTGTGACTGGATCTAACGTTACGTTGCCTACACAGACAGAAATGTGATATTTTCAGTTCAAGAACTTCATTTGATAGCAATGTAGTGACTAGTCCAGATGTGACCATAATTTGCAGTATGATGCTAGTGATGTAAAATTAGTATTGCTGGCCCATGCTCTTGGATGAATCATAGAATATAAAATAGTTAAGGGCAGAAAGAGATCAAGTGCACTGATTGCAAAAGCAGAATTTGTAGTAGAACTTTGTTGAGCTGACTTATAGATGAAGAAATCACAGTTTGTAGTTTATCCTTTTCACAACTTCAAATTATTGCTAGCCCATCATGTGGGTTTCAGCCTCAGAAATTTACGATATTGAGCTGCTGATAGTGATTGATTCTGATGGGTGTATGCCTTACTTGCATATTTAGTACTGTACATAATAATTACATTATCACCACAAAATGACAGCTGTCAGCCTTCTCAAAACAAGCCAACAACAGGCGAAAATCACCGCCTACTCAAATTTTTTCTGCCGCCTACTTTTGTGTAAGTTTAAGAAAAACATTGTACTCTCCATTACAAACCCCTTCATGGCTCGCCTGCTACTTTCTTATTTCAGCCACCTTCTCTAGATTTTTGTGAGAAGGCTGGCTGTTAAAAATCCAATTGGGCAAGTTTATTGGCTAAAATATAACATAGAAAGGAGTCAAACTAACATTAACAAGAACCAGCTTGTTCTGCTGAGGCTGTCATAGATAGTTGTAACATTGATGTAATCTGAAGATAACATTGTTTGAAGAATAAAATAGGACCTTTCTTCAGTAATCTGCAAAGATAAAGACAAACTATGTTTAAAAGCAACATTTACACATTTCTTACAACTCCAGTATGAAAAGGTTGTTATTTTACAAGAATTAGCTCAAGCACAATATAATTGATATTACAAATCACAGAAATTCATAAATGATTAAATAATTTTTAATCCTTTTGCATCCAGACAACAGGATGACTATCAGATTGTGCGCAAACTGGGCAGAGGCAAGTACAGTGAGGTGTTTGAGGGGATCAACATAACTAACAACGAAAAGTGTGTCATCAAAATCCTCAAGGTATGTCGCTCACTTTCCATCATTTAACCCACTTATAGAAGTCAAATAATGTTGCAGGTACAGACAAATTGTTCTATAATTATTCTCTTGTTTGTTGTACATTTATAATATACAGAACATGTTTATCTTAACACATTGAGGGGTGACATTAGGCAAATTAAAGGGAAGCTTTTTGACTTATACAAGCAAGACTGGGCAACCAAAGTACTTTTGAAACCTAAACTTAGAACATATGCTCTGTTTAAAGATACTTACTGTATAGAAAAATATGTAACAATGTGTCTCCCCAAACGCCAAAGATCATTGTGTGCGCAGCTGCGAGCTGGTATTTTACCTATCAATATTGAAACTGGACGGTACCAGGGAATTCCTGAGGAAAGTAGAATGTGTACCATGTGTGACCTGGATGAAGTAGAAAACGAAACACATTTTCTTTTTTACTGTCCCTTTTATGACGATCTTCGAGAAAATATGTTTCGTAAAATTTATACAAAATCACCTGACATCATATGGGAAAGAGATGAAAATAGAATTAAGTGGCTCTTTAACGAGGGTGTATCTGACCTAGCAACTTTCATTTATCGAGCGTGGGGGAAAAGAAGAAAATACCTGTATTCATAACACATCAACAGTTCTCACCTTTTGTTACTTCTACACATTTGTTTTCTCTTATTTATATTTGATTTACCTTATGTACTTGTATTTATTCTGTGAAATCTTGGTTCTTTATCAAGTTTATGTACAGATTTGTTTATTTGCATTTATGATCTGTTATGAGTTCACTCTGTTCTGCTTAATTGTTTATAGCCTAACTTTATTTGTGTTCACATTTTGTTTGGATTTTGTACCTCTGTTTCTCTGTTGTTTATGTATTATTTATTCTCAAACGGTGTCGTATAAGCCCACACGGGCTGGGCGTGGTATGCGCACGACACGAAAATAAAGTTTCATTCATTCATTCATTCATTCATTCATTCATTCATTCATTCATACAGATCTTTGCCTAGGGATGAATTTTAATTTTTATACATGGTTTTATAATTATTGCTTTGCGCGCTACTAGCTACTTAAAAATCTTCACCATAGTTGAGGATGACTTCTTTACTTTAACAAAATTTAAGGCAAGTCTAATGTCAAGTCCCAAGTAAGATTGTAGTTCTGAATGGAAAAACTGTATCGTTGTGTTATTGTTACCCATAACATGCTTTAGAGGATATGTTTGTAATGAGAAATAAATAAACTAAGTAATTGTGAGAGGTGAAATTGAACTAACAATGTCATGAAAACTAACCTGTTGTGTCGCTGTGTGAATGCAGGACAGGAGGCGCGATTCCCTTAGGTTTTTAGAGCGTATCTGTTGCCTTTGTTTCCTGCAGCCAGTCAAGAAAAAGAAGATCAAGAGGGAAATCAAAATCCTGGAGAACCTCCGAGGAGGAACAAACATCATTACCCTGCTAGCTGTAGTTAAAGACCCAGTGGTACGTTCCTATGTTTTATCTTTTATCTTAACCCTTGTCCTGCGGAGCCCATACACATATGGGTTGCACATACAGTCTTGACCATCTACATTGTATATAGCACCATGTATATGTACGATTTGGGGGTATTTCTCATGCAAAGCATCACACCGCAGCGAAATGCAACAAATGGGGAAGTGACTTTGTCACCGCAGGGCCAAAAAAGTCAAGGGTCTGGTTAAGACATCAAATTATTTGAAAATATTGTGTAAAAAATGCCAGCAAGACAAGGGTTAAACTTCTCATAAATTGCTGTCATTGCTTGGGTTGAGCCTACAGGGTACTCCCCAGAAATTAGTGGTGATGTAGGTCTAAAGAAATTGGCCAGAGAAATACAAATGTAACTGCAAGTCATGAAACTTTTGCAGTAGTTTTATTTCCTGGTAAGACAGATGAGCAATTCTGTTGTTCAGTATTCATACAATGAAGGCAATATTTTATGTGTCATTAATTGCAGTGATGGTGAGATCACTGCAAATATGAAACCACTGCAAGAGTTTTACGATTTCCAGGAAGCAAATTTGGTGCATTAAAAATAAAATAGCCTGAAGTCCAGCTATTAAAGCTACACTCGCTCCTGTCACCCTTCACTTTGTCTTCATCAAATCAAGTGTTGTTTTCGTGGCTGGATACCAGGCTAGAATTATCATCTTGAAAATCAAAATGACCTAAATTTGAAGATTGATCGGCATTGCTGAGATTGTAACAATGTTATACAGCCCCATTTTTTCATAGCTCTAAGGGGGATCCCTAGGTTAGTGGCCTACTTCCCAACATAAGGCCACACCAATTTAATTTCTTGGTTAACGGATTTTTCTAGAAAAATAATGGAGCGGGCGGGCGAAATAAAAATAAAAATAAAAACAGGCCTAGGCATCGTATTATGGCCCAAAATGGTACGATAGAAGCCATGAAGTCAACATACCAGGCTGGTTCAAAATTTAAACAATGAATTTTGAACTTTTAATGATACCACTGCATTGAAAGATGGAATAATTGTAACAACTAGGATGAAAAGGACTGTTTTCAACTGTTCAGTGCAAAATATGAGCATTTTGCAGTTTATTCTGGATTTTTATTTTTATTTGCAAATCAGAAAAAAATGAAGCGGCGAATCCGTTAACCAAGAAATTAAATTGGTGTGGCCTAAAGAACCAACCCTGTAAGGAATAGTAAGTTGTTGTTGCCAACATGGCCCTTGTGACTTCCACATGATGATGGACTGCAGTGATGTGCTGCATGATAAGTTAGTTTATATCAGCGTGTCCGCCTGAAGGGATGTTTTCATATGTTCCAGAGATGTGCTGTGTGTAATCCTTGCTTTATGTGGTGGTGTTTTATATTGGACAGCTGTTTATGATTCAGAACAGTTCCTATTCGATTTCTCAAATGAAAGAGTAATTGTCATTATGAAGATTTAAAACTTGATAACCGTACATATATCTTTGTGTATGGTTATTGAGTTTTATATATTCATAAGAATTGTTCCTGTTGGGGTCTTGGACATTGTTTTTGTATGATGTGTTGTTGTGCATTTGCTTATGTGCTTGTAGTCTTCCTGTTGTACCTCTCCACTGTGATGCCATTGTCATATCCCTGTTGACGATTTTGTTATGTTTTGACCACACATTCGTGTCCTGTGCACCTTCCCTACATTGAAGTGCGTCATATTGACTGTTACCTTTGTTTTCTTTGTTCTAGTCGAGAACGCCAGCATTAATATTTGAGTATGTTAATAACACAGACTTTAGGGTAAGTATTCCCCACTCTTGTGCAGACTCTACAACATAACATTAAGGTTCAAGCCAACATTAAGGCACAATTTTTCTTTTTATTCTCTAGTCGAGGACACCTGCATTAATATTTGAGTATGTAAATAATACTGACTTTAAGGTGAGTTAGCATTTAGTATTGTATTCTAGAGTATTCAATTAAGCACATGTCAAGTTGTCATCATGGTATTGGGTAAGAAAAATGTGCACCTGGCTAATGAATTATAAATCATTTATAGTAAAGTATAACTGAATTCTAGTCTTGCTTTGTGGAATCTATATGCCACATCCAAGCAAATAAAAGAGGATGTATATATGTATACTTTGCCAATGCTGGTAAAAATATGTAAAAAAAATGATTAAAAAAACCCGAACAGTAACACTTAAAAAAAGAGATTTAAAGACTCGTCAAATCTGTGTTAGATTTAGTATAGACGTGCATAACATAACTGCATTTCTAGTAATGAGCTCTTTTTCCTTTTTTTACAGCAATTATACCAAACATTAACCGACTACGACATCAGATACTACTTGTATGAGCTCCTGAAGGTAAGATACTAAACTGCAAACTACTCTTAGTGTACAACCTGCCAATAAACTACAGCCATTTGTAATCTGTTAACTTTTGGGAGACAAGTCAAAGACCTGTACAGTTCAACAAACCTTAAAACATGACCCAGATACTGTATTGTAAATTCAAGCACTATACTACTTGTATGAGCTCCTGAAGGTAAGATGCTGAACTGCAAACTACTCTTAGTGTACAACTCGACAACTAACTTCAGCAATTTGCAATCTGTTCAGGAAACTTTTGGGAGACAAGTGAAAGACCTGTACAGTTCAACAAACCTAAACATGACCCAAATACTGTACATAGAAAAATTCAAGCACCCTAGGCAATGGAAGCTATCATGTAACTGCCAATTTTCTGTCACCCGGGACTTTTGTAAGTTGGTATTTCCTGTAACTATCTTTATCAGGTTGGTGAATGTGAAGAGTAGCTCTTCAGTGAGCTAAAACTTGGTGGAGCTCTTTTCTTCTTACATACAACTTATCTGCTGTTTCAGGCCCTGGACTACTGTCACAGCATGGGCATCATGCACAGAGATGTCAAACCTCACAACGTCATGATAGATCACGAAAACAGAAAGGTGAGGATGAGGGTTTGTTTTGTGGGTGAAGGTGATCCAGCATTGACCTTCGTCTCATGAAAATCACACAATGAAAGTCTGGAAGTAATGTTGATCACCCAGTGTCCATCTAGTTAAAGCATCTTAAGTGAACCACCAAGAAGTCTTCTGTTTTGTATGAAAGATGTTCATGTAAATAGCAAAGTTCTTAAATTGCAACCACTTGTTAAACATGACCCAACGTTTTGTGATCGCCTATCATCTTCATCAGGGCAGTTATGACTGGTTCACTGTCCACTGAAGTAAGGTGTCACTTGCTCATTGTAAACCAGTCATAACTGCCCTGATGAAGATGACAGGAGGTCATCGAAACATCGGCTTTTGTGAAACAAGTGGTTGGTATTCAAAGACCTTCGCTGTTCAATCCTGTACCAACCAGATTAAATCATTTACGGAAGATGTTTGTATGTTCCCCTGTAGCTGCGGCTGATTGACTGGGGCCTGGCTGAGTTCTACCACCCAGGACAGGAGTACAACGTGAGAGTAGCCTCCCGCTACTTCAAGGGCCCCGAACTGTTGGTGGACTACCAGGTGAGTTGTGACCGGGTATGTAAGAAGATCTTTTGTCATCTGGCTTCCGCCCCCTCACCGCTGTGTAGTGGAAGAAACTGCCACTCCACAAAAAAAGCCACACTCGTAGGGCACCGGTAGTGCTACACACTTAATCACGTTGGTGAAAAATTTCATCAGGTTGGTGAATGATTGAGTAGTATTTAAGTTCTTCAGTGCACAGCAAACCAGTCATTGTAACCCTGATGAAGGTGGCAGACGGTTATTAAAACACTGGCTCGTGTTAGTGAATACAAGAACTTTACTATTCACTTGGTCACGTTGCAGTCAACTCCTAAAACATGTCAGTTTTAGTTGCACCATTTAGAAGATTACCATAGTGGTGGTATGGTGTTCTGGTTTAGCTTATAATGGCCTGGTTATGTATTGTTGGGTCCAGTTGGCATGGGGACAGAGTTTGTTTGGGAAAGAAAATTCCTCTTGGTGTAAGAAATGCTGACCAATCTGAAAATATAGGCCAATCCAATAAGTCTGTTTAGTAGGGCAGTGGTAAGTACAGATTGACTCTTGCACATATAATATTATCGCCTTTCGTGTTAAGAAAAACCATCCCTGACTCCGAAGAAAACAATTAGTCATACAGTAATAGGTTTCCAGCGCCAATTGAGAAATTAGAGTAGTGAAGGGAAAACATGTTTGTGATGTACATGGCATATTACTAGGATGCGGATGTTTCTTGGTAATGTAGGTGGAAGTGTTGTGAAAATGTAAATGGCAAGGAGATCGGTTGTGGCTAACATAACTGTGCAAGATTTGAAGCTAATTTTCCGCACCTAACCGAAAAAAATTTGGGTGCACAATATGAAATAAATGAAACTTAATTCTTTACCTAACTTCAAAATTCTACACAAGCAGGGATTCTACCCCAGAAATTCTTTGGTAGAGGAGTGCTCCCTAATCGGTTGATGAAAAATCAGCAAATTTTTTATGAAAATAGGTAAATTTGAACATTTTGGGAGATGTGCTAGGATTTTGGGGAGAGGGGGAGCACTCTTGCTTTATTATTTAGGAAGAGTCCTGACAAGTGGGTTCACAAAAGTGCATATATTATGCACCCAGTATATACATCTCTGGTGTAAGTTATGTGTGAAAATGTAGGTGTACACAACAAGACGTCTTCGTTGTGGCTAGCACCACTGTAACAGTGCGTTAATGTTAATTTTTTCTCTCTTTTCCACAGCAATACGACTACTCGCTGGACATGTGGAGTCTAGGATGTATGCTGGCCAGTATGATTTTCCGGAAGGAGCCATTCTTCCACGGACATGACAACTATGATCAGGTAACCATCCTGCTATAGATTTGTTTAAGATACATACACATGGTGCCAAAACTTACACGCCGTACCTTGTATGACTATTGCATTGATGAAGGTTAGACATCCTGGTTAACAATCTTCAAAGACAAATCAAGCTCTACTACTGGATAAATTACGGATTTTATATCGCAACATATCCAGTAGTAGAGTTTGATTTGTCTTTGAATATTGCAAAACTATTGTACAGTATGAATAAAATTCATGTTCAGTGAGATTCAGTGAGAATGTGAGTACACCTTTTCAAAAATGCAAGTTGTAATTTTTTAGAAAGATGGAGACTTTTTATTCTATTTTTCAGTTGGTCCGCATTGCCAAAGTTCTTGGAACAGAAGATCTATACAAGTATCTGGACAAGTATCAGATAGACCTAGACCCCAGGTTCAATGACATTCTTGGAAGGTACGTCTTCATTTGTTCTTCTGCAATTTACAAGGAGCTAATGTGTTCGCAATGCTTTGATCTAGAAATAAATGTTCTTCCATAAAGAAAAACAGTAAGGTCTTTCCCATTCGAAGATACATTAGTCTATATGTAAAACGTTATGGTTATCAACTGTTTCAGTAATTTCTTCTGCATTGTCAAACTAGCTGGAGGAAAAAATTTTCTTCAGTCAGGCTGTGGCTATATGTAGTTGGCCATTTCTTCATCATTAGATGAACAAACAAAACTGGTCATTTCTTATCTTTGCAGTTCAAATTTAGGTTTAATAATGACTTCTACCAAAACATATGAACTCTAATTTCCAACACAAGAAATAAGACTTACCCAAACTGTACTGTGTACATCCACCGCTTCCCTGACGTCACACAGATAACACACGTGACTCTGTGAGCAGTGGATCATGGTTTGCAGAAAGTCTGTGGCGCCCCCAGTCTCTGTTGAGGGATGGTTGTAATAATGACCATGTCTTCCTTTCTCCCACAAGACATTCTAAAAAGCGGTAGGAGAGGTTTGTTAGAGTCTTTATAATGTAGTTAAGAAAGCTATGGCTTGTAGTTTGCCATGTCTTCATCATTAGATGAAGAAACTAATCTTGTCATTCCTGTTCTCCCCCCAGACATTCTAAAAAGCGGTGGGAGAGGTTTGTGCACAGTGAGAACCAGCACCTGGTCAGCCCCGAGGCGCTGGACTTCCTGGACAAACTCCTGCGCTACGACCACCAGGAGAGACTAACGGCACGGGAGGCCATGGAGCATCCCTACTTCTGTGAGTAGTGGGCTGTCTGTATTTTATGTATATAGAATATATGACTACAGTAAGGGCAGATACAGAGTACAGCACGGTGAATTCTGTATCACCCAAGGTAGGCTGAGAATACACTGTGTTGTATTTTATTTTGTCACACCAAACTGAGAAAACACACATTTCAATGGAAAATGTGCTGAAATTTGGTGGCCGCAAACAAAAATTGTAACATCAATTCCAATGTCCGAATCTGGTTTTTGAATTCTAGAAAGTGGCATACTTGGCACACGCGAAACATGTTCAAATTATTCTTTTGAACATTTGGAAGCACACTCACTCACTCACTGTCGGGTTTATCGTCTGTTGTTCCTCGTCTTCTGAGGGTTAGACATGCTTGCACTGCAATACTGAGGCTTGATGGCAGCCCCAGTATTGATGTAAGCTTGTGTGATAACTGTTTCTCTCCATTTTCCCAGACCCAGTAGTGAAGGAGCAGGGCCGCATGCAATCGTCCAGCCTGGCAGTCAGTTCCCCCACTCCAAATGCCTCACAGATGGTGCCAGGTAGGTTCAGCAGCATGTGATACGGTATAGACTTTATACAGCAACCATTGTATGGGAGCTGATCGTGCATGTTACCTTATAACACCAGTACGTCGGCAGAACGTACTGCACCTGCGCGAAACCCGTAGTGTATCGTGTATAGCACTTCGGCAGTACGTCTCATATAAGGTCGTATTCGCGCAAATAAGGTTAACACTCCGTCTGTAGTATGCAAATAGTATGTCAGATAAGATATTGTCTGCAACAGGCTAAATTCTGATGCGACGAGCAAAAATCCAAAGAAAACCGTGAAAAATGGGTGTTTGCGCAAGCTCAGTACGTTCTGCCGACGTGCTTGTAACACCTAACATAAGTTGTACCATCAAGTAGTGGGAGAAATATGGGAGTCCGCATGTCCATGCTATAAAAATCCTTACCGCCACAAAGCATCTATGCTGTAAACCTCAATGATTGTCAGTTTTTGTCACCTTAATTTGGGCATATACAGAATCAAACATTTCATTGTAGGCCCATGGACAATAAAGCAATCAAACATCAAGAATATCTGTTTAATTCAGTGTAAGTCTCTGAACAGACTAGTGGAAAGGGAATAATTTTTTTTATTTTGAAATGGAAGAAAGGAAAGTACTTACCTCAATTTTTGTATGTTACCCATGTTTTTTAGAATATAGTCTAGTTTCCCAGCTTTTTGTAACTAACAACCACCTTATTACACTCGAGAACAAGAAAGGCTAAAGTTGAGGAAATTTGCTGTTCTCAGTCACAGCCATTAAGTACAGCTGATAATAATGTTTGGTACTATTTTTTACGTTGACCACAAGGCAAAAGGAACAGCATTCAGTAGGCCTGTGCACATACATGTAGAACACGTAGTGTGAAAAGCCTCTCGTAGGCCTTTTTTAGTCAGTGAGAGATTTCCGTGCTTCTAGAGTAGGCGTCCCGGATTTTTCCGTACTTTAGTACATGTAGTTGGAGAAGCCTAGGCTCTAGGGCTCGAAATACCACCTGCATGTGCAGGTCAGTGCAGGTGAAATCAGAGCTGTGCATGTGAAATTAGAGCTGTGCAGGTATCTCTGATGTTCACCTGCACCTAACCTGCGCCAGTAATAGAGTTAGAATCTGTGACACCTAAAGGGATCAAACATTGCAGGTGAAAATTAGCCTGGTGCAGGTTGTTTACAAAAGTTACCTGCACCAGCACTGGTACAGTCAAACCTACCCAAGAAGACTGCTGACTTGGGGGACTGACAAAATCTGGTCTATGCAGGTGTTTCAGGTCTTCATGCTTCTGTCAATGGGGAAATATTAAGTCTGAAGAGATGGTGGTAAGTCACTAAGTAAAGAGACTGTTTTACACAACCAAGTCTTTTATTCAGGCTGAATAAAATACTTGGTTGTGCGAAAAGAGTCTCTTTAGTCTTCTCCCTGCTGATTAACTTTGAAACCAAAACAAATTACATATTCATGTATGTTTCAAAAGGTTACTTCAGCTGGTAGAAAAATAAAGAGACCCTTTTTACACAACTTGGTGTTTTATTCAGCCTGAATAAAAGACTTGGTCATGTCAAGTCAAGTCAAGTAAAAAGAGTCTCCCTTTCTTCAGTGACTTACTATCCTGATGAAACTATGCACAGAAGCAGGTAGAAGGTTTTGTAGAGGTGGTCACTTGTACAGGTTTGACTGTAAAAACAAAAAGCGTATATATATATAGTAAAACGTTGAACTTTATTCCAACACAGGGATCAAAGTTAAACGTTTTACTATGATTACTACCAACACAGCGGACCTTTCATGATAACAAAAAAGCGTATTTCGAGCCCTGGGTTGTATGTAACCGTTGAGAAGCGTTGCTTCTAAACTACAGTACTGTTCTGTACTGCAGGAGGCAACTCGTCCTATCCAGGCGTGGCTGCCACCAACTCCATGCTGATTCCGGGCTCCCCCGTGATCTCGTCCGCGCCGCTGAGCAACTCTGTGCCCCCCGTTGTCACATCCCCAACACCCACCCAACCATAGACAGGTGCTGCAACCCCTCCCCTCTCAGCCAACACTCTCTCCATCCATCCCACTAGTTTTGGTTTTATTAGTACTATTATTATTATTATTATACCTCAAATTCCCACCTAGTTTGCATGATGTGACGTTTGGATTTTTTTTGTAACTCTTTGAATAAAAAAATTTCCCCCACGTTTCTTTTTATTCCCCGATTTTCTGTTCCCGGTTGTTAATTTGGCTGTCTGTAGGGTTCCTTGAATCTGTCTATGACCTGGTGTTGGGTTCTTAATAATTGGATGAGTTTGAATCCTTCAACCCCTGAGTAACCCCTTACTTCTAATAAACCAAACTTTTTTCTTACAATCATATATAATCAAGTGATTTGTTTTCCCTTTAGTTGTTGATTCACAAATGCAAGCCTCTAGATATTTAACGGTTTGAATCGTTTTCTTTCAAAGTAACATGTTCCCACAGCGTGATTTCTCTAAGCCCTCACAGGTTTGTCTACCAGGTTAGAAAAAATACTGTAGTAGAAACTCTACCATTTCTACTACATTCAAGAATTTGTACTAGTATAAGTGTTGGTGATACGTCCTTGATAATACACAAACTTTGATGCAAAAAAGATAAAAGCTTCCGTTTATTCCAGCATCTCTGTTCTTCTTGTGTGTGACCACTCTAACATGTTTACATGTTTACATCATTGCTTATTTATTGACCAGAGTTTGTTACACCAAAATGACTTGGTTGCCCAGTGTTGTAGGTCCAAGCCACTGAAGGGAAAATTGACAGACAGTTGGTTGCAAAGAGAGACCTTATTCTCTCTATGTACTCAGCTGTCTTCTGTTGCATTATACACATTATTTATCAGACATGCAAAGATTGTGTTAAACTACTGTACACATATCAGCATTAACAGCAACTGTTCCGATTTGTTTGCAATCCTTCAACTGTATCTATATGATGCCTTGGTCTTTAACCATTGGCACAATAATCTTTGCACAACCAGTAAAATTTGTTGGCACATGGTTCCCTCAAATTTTAGGAGATTAAGAGTGTACAACTGAATCCAAATGTTGTATTAAACCACAAGTTACAATTTCAGTGAATAATAGTTTATGTAAAGTCCCAGTTGTCTTGTGAAACAGTCTGTAGTATTTTCTTGGTGTATCTTCTATATCTAGTGGTCAGACAGACCCAGTAACAATTCATGAAGGTTCTGCAACACTTTGTTACATGCAGAAAGGTTTAATGCTACTGTACAATAACCAACATCCTATCTGTTCTTCTTGTCATTCCAGAGAGCAAGTATGCTAAGCTGGCCCATCCTGGAGTGAGATTGGTAACCTAACCGACCCTCTGTCGACGCTCTTTTCTACTGCCAAGTCTGCTCCCAACGAGTTGTTGTTGTTGGAACCACTGTCCATGCGGGAGGAGTTGTTTGGTTACAGCTGGTTCCGTGCACGATGTGTTGAAGAAAAAAAAGAAGAGAACTTCCAGAGGAATTAAAAAATAACCTCACTTCTTAGATGAGACAGCCGCATGCCAGAAAATAACACGAAAACACAAAAAACAAATACAAAATTTCAACCACCCATTCAATGCTTGCAAATCAATTCAATTCAATTCTACCTTGCTTGTTATACGTACGGGCGACTTTTTTTCTGCGTCGCCTTCTTATGATGTACCTACAAGTCACGAGAAAAAAAAAATTAAGGATCAATTCATCTGTTGTGGGAACTAGCCCTAAAGGTACTGTACATATGTGTGCTACAGGAGTAACCTGTATACGGCTGGGATGAACAATATTGATACCAGAAACCCATGTCATAGCCCAATAAAAGATTCTTCTGTATACTCTTATGTTAATATGAGAAGTTCTGGCCCTGCTTGAGGGTTAGCAAGCCTTGCAGCATGTGTCTGTCTGCGTAGCCACAGATTGTAACTGTTTGCTTTTGTGTTAGATGAAGAGAAGTGTAGGTGGCCAGTAGCTTTGCCAGCCAGACCTAACGTTTCAGGCCTCTTCATGTTTATCATTTTGGTGCTCGGAGATTATACGTAGATGTACTTGGGACTGGATTAAAGTGAAGATGTGCTACTACCACAGAGACTGAACAATATTGATCCAAGTACTGCGGTGGTAGGAAAAAGAAAGTGTGACATGCATGATGGTGGACAAGTTGTTGTTTTTAGGTCCAGTTCCTTGCATGTGAAAAAGTACAATGCAAGCTTTGCTTTGCTAACAGATAGAAATGAGTTTGTGTTGTCTGCCCTACCATAGTAATTGCCTAGCATTTGTATTACTATTAGCACCATCCTTGTGGGCTTATGTTATTGTTTTGTATTATCATTAGTGTGTGCAACGGGTGATAATTCCTCTACTTTTGTTGTATCGCATCTGGCTGTTTAACTACGCTCCTGTGTAGGTAGCAATCCGTTCAATCCTAGGTGTTCTTTTACTGATAACAAGATGGCTGTGGGTAGTTGTAGATGCTAAGTTGTCTAACCTGCGCTCTTAAACTGGCCTCTTAGCGGTTGTGAATTCTCCGCTCAATTTGCAGCCCCAAGCATTAAGGTATCGCTGTTTCGGTTGTTAGTCATAATCCTTTTTTTTGGTTTCTTTCGGGGGATGGAAGTACGAAAAAAAAAGTACCAGGCCTCCACCAAAGCTCTGAGAACCTACTGTTAAAATCCAGTGCTTTACTGTTGTCAAACTATGCATTCAGTTCAATTGTCAGGCTTCTGGACACTTAGTTGTGTAAAGTAATGTCTTATTTATGGGCCTTGATGGAGCATACTGTGAAAGCAGTCTGGCTTTAACTGTAGTTTGTTACAAGTGCACAGACTGTTTAAAATGTAAAAATGACACGCCAACACAAAATTGTCTCAACATTAAAATTGACTGTCCAGTTTTCCACATATTGACTACATCTGCTGAAGGAAGCAAATGCCCAAGCTATAGCTGTTCACAAACTGCTAAATTTAAAATTTGTGCATTCAAAAATTTGAAAGGACTAATGCAAGATTACAGAGACGGTTGCTTTCTTATGTTTTTCGTTCTCTCCCCCACAAATTTCTCCACTACTTTTCACCGTTTGTAATGTAAGGTTTTCTGTACAGTGGATTAACCAGAACTGTGTCACAGCTGCAAGACCTGCATGGTGGGATGTTTTCTCATTACTACATGTACCTTAAGTTTCTTGTATTAAGTGCAAGAAGAAATTAAAAGTCAAAAGACCTGTACAGCAGACCCTGTCGTGTTATGATCTTTTTGCTTGTGTCTGGAGAATGTAACGTTACATAGTTTGGGTTGACATGTTCATGAGTCATCCCCAAAATTGTAGAATCATTTTTATACAAAGATGGCAAAGAAGTTTTTGACGGCTAAATGAAATTCTAGAATCATGATGGTAAGTAAGTTACTTACTGACAGCGGTTCAAAATTCTAGAAACACATGGTATTTTTCCGACAGCTGTCTATCTGAAGTACGTGGTTGTACATGTACAACGTCTACATTTAAACTTGGGTTTCAAGATTCCACTACTTTTTTGAAGCAGTGGTAAGATCAAGAAATGCAATTTCTCTGCTATGCATGGGTTCTGTGATTTCAGAGAAATTAGAACAGGAACAAGCACAAATCTGTAGACTGCAAACACATCACACGAAAGTCAGGCAAAAACAGTTGAGCTACTGAACGCTGCAGACATTTATTTCAACACCATACATGAACCATGACCAACTGGTATATATAATTTGTATACTCTCAGCTCATTTAATACTTCTGGTCAGCTCCAAAGTTCTCATACCAGGCAAGTACATGGCATCACATCACCTCTAATATAGAAAACATGATCCTTAACAGTGGAAAGCTCCAAGCAACAAGTAGGCTAGCTACTTCAATTTCTAAGGCTTGTAGCCTGACTGAAGCAAATCTTAAGTGGAAAAGCATGTATACACACTACCAAAAGCTCTCGTATTGGAAACATGATTCTTGAACAGTTGAAAGATACAGGCAAACATTCAAAGTTACTCCGAATCTACGCTGGATACTGCATTTATAAGCATTTAATATTGCTGAAAGATACAAGCAAACACTCTAATAAGCTGGTTACTGCATTGATAAGGCTTGAAGCCAGAGTTACAGTTTACACACGCGAAGTAAGGCATAAGGCAAAAATATGTGTGGAATACAAAGTGGCCCCTTTCACTCTATTACATAGGCATCTAAAGGAAAACTAGTTTCTACCAAACTCAGCCTGATTGCATTGCATTGTGAATATGCAGGGTGGAAACCCGATACGCGGCTCCTCTCATTTGTCCTTGCGGACGTCCTTGTCGGCGACCTTGAGGCCCAGGTAGGTGTACAGCTGCTTACAGCGCAGGCGGGACCAGATCATGTGGTCGGACAGGGACAGCATCTGGGCAGCTGCTAGGACAGCAGCATCGGGGGACAGCACGGTGGAACAGCCCAGACCTGGAAACAGCAGAACACAGCAAAATTTAGTTTTAGTGCAACCTGCAGCCTCACATTTTAGGACCTAAACATATGTTACTTTTTTCCGAGCACAACAGCTATCTACCATCCAAAATTTGTGACCCTAGCATGTCCATGACCCTATAGTGGTCACGATATATCAAAACCTGAATTTCAAATGCAGGTGGCCAAAAATCTAATTAATTCAAGGCCTCCTAACTTACCCAGTTTCCTTACAATTCATCCATAGCTTCTTGAATTATTGGGCTAAACCACACAGACACGATACATAAACACATACAAATGCTACCAAAAACATAACCTTCTTTACGCAAGTAATAAAACCCACCTGAAGGCAGCCTGAGAGATGACCAGATGTCCTGCGCTCCCCAGTCCGCCTTGACGGGGGGACAGTTGATGACCGGGTACGACGTGTTACCTGACAGGACCGGTCCCAGACCGTTACTGCGGCCCGCGATGGCCACAAACACGCACGGGATGCCGTCACCTGCAGGGGAACAACAACAGTAGGGTTGAGCTTACAGGTTCAGTGTCAGAAAGAAGTACATGACACTAGTGTTTGGGAAGGCACAAGCAGCAGAATATGTTCACTGTTAGTATCAATGTTAATATGAAGCATGTGTTGTGTGTATGAAAATTACAATTTGTTTTGTTGGTATCATCTGTGCACACTAAACATAATGAGTGTTGCGAGCTTACTTCTTACCACCTTTACTTCAAAAGTCTCATACATACATAATGGAGTGGTCTAAGTATGTAGTAGAGTGGATTCATTCCTCAAGCTAACTGACATCTTGCACACACAGTCGTCCCTCAGTAAGACATTTGGAGCTGTATAGTTCCTGTTTAGAACTTATATTCAGCCTGTTACACAAAAGAAAAAAGTGCCACGGCTCCAGAAAAAGAAACAAATTCCCTAATCAGTACATTTCCATCCTTACCTTCATACTCCCTGAGGATCCTGAGGGTCTCCTCGGTGCCCTTGTGTGCAGAGCTGACCCTGACGTCACACGGGATCCCCAGCCCCTGGCAGCCTTTACTAATCTTCTGTCCGTGCTCCATGTCTGTGGCAGAACCCATCAGAACAACCACCTGGGCACTGGGCTTGGTCTGCAGCAGCTGGGAAGGAAAAGAACAGGAAATGTTGCAGCTGTCAACATTGAAAATTTTAGAGTGTTTTTCATTTTCATGGTTTGTGAGGTGACCTCTATACTGCGACACTCATGACACTGTGGAAATGTCTCAATTGTCTCAATTGTGTGACTGCTGCACTACAGAATTGCTCTAGCCGCAAATTTAAAATACAGGAAAACACCCCTTTCCCAGGTACCTGCAAAATGAAACCACCATGAAAGTAAATGAATTTACATTTTGCATAACATTTTCTGTGTTAGTACTGATTATGTCCAGTTGCTTAGCAATTCTACTGAATGCAGTCTACATTTCTGAAATCTTTGCAAATTTGTATATTTTGCTTTCTTAGCCATCACTAGTAACCTTACTAGTCTACCTAACTCTGTGTGCGTGTGTACGGGTACTCCCAATAAGGATGAAGAAATGTTTCTTACCTTGACCCTCTCAGCGACCCACTGGAAGTTCCTCTTGACCTGGTCCAGCGCCTCGGCTGTGACCTCCTTCAGCTCGCGGTAAACCTGTTTGTCCTTCATCAGTCGGCGGTCACCCGACGGCCACAGTCGCCACGAGTCGCTGTCAATCAAGTCAGCCAGGACAATCTCACCTGCAGAAACACAATTAAGATTCATAAATATTCTATGTGGTAGAAATACAAACATCTTTAACCTTATGCACACTGAAGTAGCCATCGGGAAAAGGGAAAGAAGGTGAGGTTCTAGTGTAGGTGATTTTGAATGTTACTTGTCTCTGACCTTTTTAGTGCTCTGGCAGTATTTTCATATTGAAGCCCACACTCACCCAGAAGCTTAGACTATTTAGCAATTGTACAACTGTAAAAAAGGATAGGTTAGGTTGCACGTATGAAAACCAGTGCCGACCTTTCGTGTTGACTCCGAACTCAATCTTCATGTCGACCAGGGTGCAGTTCTGCGTGGCCCAGGCCTTCTCCAGGATCTCATTTGCAAGTGTACACCTCTTAAAACTGTAAAACTGTAACATAACTACAAAAATATAAAAACCAGCACCAACCTTTTGTGTTGACACCGAACTCTATCTTCATGTCGACCAGGGTGCAGTTCTGTGTGGCCCAGGCCTTCTCCCACATTTACTGATAAGATTAGAGGTCTATCCTCACCCAAAAGCATTGTAGAGTGTACAAAACTATCACAACTTTAATTTCTAACAACTGATGAGTGATAGGTCAGGTTTTCACCAGCTCCAACCTTTTGTGTTGACGCCAAACTCTATCTTCATGTCGACCAGCGTGCAGTTCTGTGTGGCCCAGGCCTTCTCCAGGATCTCATTTGCAAGTGTACACCTCTTAAAACTGTAACTTTAACTACAAAAATAGAAAAACCCAGCTCCAACTTTAGCAGAGTGTACAGAACCTATAAAATTCAGCACCAACCTTTTGTGTTGACGCCGAACTCTATCTTCATGTCGACCAGGGTGCAGTTCTGTGTGGCCCAGGCTTTCTCCAGGATCTCGAACACCGCGACAGTCGTACGGCTCATGATCTCGATCTCGTCACGGCCGATCGTCACGCCGCCCGCCTGCAGCTTGGCCTCCACAAGCTGCTCGTACGTCCACTGGGGATCGTGGTTCTCGTCGTCCTGAAGGAGAAACAAATGTTTTTTAATAAGCACTCCCTTCCACACAGGCCTATTTTGATACAAGGAAGAAACGTGTGTTGCATTCTTATTTATCTAATACAGTAAAAACTGGACAGGTGGCTCTTACGTAGCGGTGGTCACTTGTACAATGTTCTTTAGATAATTTTTTCCATTGACACTAAGCACCAAGAATCCTGTCTATAGTGATCACATCAATATGATTATCATATTACATAGAAGAACCATCCAAACCAAAAAGAGCATCATCAATGTTGGGTGCAGTTTGTGACTGAATTAGTAGGTGGAGCTGCTGCTACACTTAATGGCCGCAATATTTGACTCGGGACCTAAATAAGAATGCAAGATGTTCTTTTTACAAGATCCCACCTTGAAGAAAGTCTCCAGTTTGGGAGGGGAGAACCTGTAGCCCTCCTTCACGCCGACGTTACGTTTTAGGAAGGATCCGGTCGCCAGCCGTCTGGTCACCCACTCGATCGGAATCATCTCACAGCGCTGCGCGATGAAACTTTTCTCTTCATGCTGACGAACAAAGTGGTTCTTTATACCTGGGAACAAAAGGAACAAGTCTATAGGACACAAAACTCCATAGAGTTGTAATAGAGTAAGTTTGGGGTGTGGGGTTAGGTTCCCTTGTGACCATGAATGTCATTGAGTAAAGAGATTCTTTTTACACAACCAAGTCTTTTATTCAGCCGACGTTTTGGTGACCGTCTGTCGCCTTCCTCAGGGAAATTCTGACTGGTTCACATTGCACTGCAGCACAGGTGTCGCTGCTACAGATGCATTCACGGACATGAATGTCATTTCTCTTGAAGTTAAAGTGTTTAATAGCATTCTTTTCACACAACCAAGTCTTTTATTCAGCCGACATTTCGGTGACCGTCTGTCACCTTCCTCAGGGCAATTCTGACTGGTTCACATTGCACTTCAGCACAGGTGTCGCTGCTACAGATGCATTCACAGACATGAATGTCAATTCTCTTGAAGTTAAAGTGTTTAATAGTTATGAGTGTTATGACTATGTTACAGTTTATTATGACACTTGAGTAGCCAAGGCAATCAAGCATTTGCCATGTGGTGATGTCTTTACATGTATGCTGTAGTACAGTTTGTATAAAGTGGCCTTTTTCACCTGGACACAAAAGGAACAATTCTTTGGTGGTTGGGTTACAGCTCAGGTACAGGTGACTGTTGTTGTTTCTCAACATTAATTAAGTTCTTTTCTTCTTCTTAAACCGCTTCAAGAAATGCTGTTCCCTTATTCTTCTGGGCAGAAATACACCAGCATGCTTGTATTTCTGCTAAATATTTCTTAGCTGGACTATTACCTAATTTCAAGAGAGTCTTTTGCTTTTCTAAGACCTAGTAAGATGTCTAAGAAGATTACCTGGCTACAGTTAGGCAGATGGCATGTCAAGCCAGAGGCACGGGTATGTAGCCTGGGTGCCAGACCCGCAGCACACCAGGCTTAATCACGCCAGGCACCATACAAAAAATGTAGGAATCCTTCCCGGTGTGAGTGGTTCAAAAACCGTTCAAACCTTACAGTCTGGTCTTGCGCAGCTTGTACCTTCTGTACAAAACTGGTGTCTTACACCAAGAGCTAGCCTGTATATTGGCCTTGGTAACAGTCTGGTACCCAGGCTAGCCCTAGAGCAGAGGAGCTTGCCTGTATACTATCCCTGGTAACAGTCTGGCACCCAGGCTAGCCCTGGAGCTGAGGAGCTAGCCTGTATACTATCCCTGGTAACAGTCTGGCTCCCAGGCTAGCCCTGGAGCCCAGGAGCTAGCCTGTATACTATCCCTGGTAACAGTCTGGCACCCAGGCTAGAGAAGATTCACTTATTATGTGAAACACTAACAAAAAAAAAACAAACATCCCCCCACCTGCGCTGGTGAGGAGGTTGAAGATGGCGGTTGCAGTTGCCGTGGAGATGGCGGCCTTGCCCTCCAGGTCGTTGGCCCTTGCGCCGTCGCCCGCGGTGATGCGGTCCTTCGACAGGATGTAGACGTTGGCGGGGTCGTCCTTCAGGGCGTAGACGATCTTCGTCTTCCCTTCGATGATCTGTTCTCCCAGGTTCAGTCCTGGGATTCAAAATAAAGAGACAATTGTTATTTGAAGACCTTGTAACAGTGGGGGGTTTATAGGTGCTACCAACTGACCCAGCCGAGGGGTTTAGACCTTTTAGCCGAATCGTTAAAAGCGTCAGCATGTGGAATGGTGCCTGGGTTTGGTCGTGGGTTCGAACCCCGGCCCGGGTTTTTTATCTGTTTCTACTCGCTCCTCCTGTTTCTTACAGTGGTTCCCGCACTGGGAATCGAACCTGGGCCTTGGCGTTGAGAGCCCCAAATCCTAACCACTAGACCATATGGGAATCAACTTATATACAAGTACGTAAGTAGTCACTGTTGTAGTTATTTGAATGAACACAGACACACTCTCTACCCCGATCTCGATTTTTTTGCGTTTACTTTTTTAAATTTTCATTTGGCCATACAAATTTATTCCGAGTCTTCGACCAGGTAGGAATTCCCATCGTGCTTGAGGAAATATTCCTTTCACGGTATTTTCAACTTGACCCATGGTAAGAGTAGGGGTTTGCCCTGTGTGCTTGGCCAAATTTGGGGACATATCTTGCAGCCACACGCTTCTCCTTGTCACATCGTATCAGTAATGTCATCAGTATGGATACACTGCCAGACACAAGTGTGCACTTATCCATGGTGCCTTACTGGTGCACTGTGGCAAGTGGACTGTAGCAAGTGCCTGCTGTAGCCTTGTCACTCAACTTGTGTGTATCAAATTTACGGCCAGACTAACCCGACACTTATGATAACATGTGAGGAATGCAGGCTATTGTAACCTGATAGGTTGATGAGGTAACCTGATACTGTAGCAGCCATCCCGCCCATACCTGATACACCCGTATCAAATACAGACGGGCACTACAGGTGGTCATTATATTAGAAGTGGCAAGTGGTGGGATTATACTAGTAGTCCACATGTTTAATTCTTAAACATAAATGACCCTCTACTTTACGAAATCTCTGCATTTTCTCTGTAAACCTTAGCACAGCTGTGTACATAAGAATGCATTTTTGTGCGAATATGGGGGAGGGCATTCTATATTTATCGCTGAAAATTATCTGCGATTTGAATGAAATCTGTATATGTTTGGTGAAATAACAATTAAATCTTCATTGCACTGCAAGTCTACTGATATTTTGGTGAATTTAGTGTTCTTAGATGCGTATAAAACAAGCTAAAGCGTCCAGACATGTGACAGACATATTCTAACAATTCGCACGTGGACTTCACACCCTGGCCCATTCATAGTCCACGCTTTCAAAACGTGATCACAAAATTATCGCCCGAACACCCCTACTCGCTCAAACAAGGCCTCCTCGTGCAAGGGAACAAACCCGTAGGACTCAGACTCACCTGACATGATTTATGATGTGTTTTTCGACGTTTTCTTGAGAGAAATCTCAGCTTGCAAGGCGCACCGACCTAACAGGAGTATAATGCCTCCACACGTGACCACGGAACACCGGAAGTGATCCCCTCTTTTCGCGCCAAAATCTTAATCTCAGGTTACAGGGTCTACCGCCAGTTACTCCGTAGAGCATTTGTGACATCACTAGCGACATCTAGCGATTTTAGGATAACCTGCAACCGACATTGAGTTATCCGCGGAATACAACCCATGCTCTGCCACCTGTATATATAGTCAGTGTAGAGCAGACTAGGACATTACCGCACAAATATAAGCGTACCGCTCAGGGTTCATAGGCCTGTATTGTTACTATCTGTACCTGTACGTAGAAGTTGCTTAGGTACCGTAAGAGCTCTATTCAAAAGCCCCTATATATTAAACTGCCAGTGTTCCCAACTTGCTGCTTTCATCAAAAAGCTCACATGGTGGCGCTTTGGGTATCGTAAATGCAGTACAGCCCTAGCCCTATGAAAAGTGCTTTGTATTCACCACAAAAAGTTTGCGGGCAATGGACATTGCAACGTAGACTTTACATATAGTGTAAAAGATTAACCTCCAGGGATTGACCTGTATGATTTGGGGCTGACAACATCTGTAGTTCAGTCTGACTGATCTATAACGGTGCTCCCTGACCACGGATTACAGGCAAGTTGCAGCTTGGCAGCCACCCAGGTTCTTCCAACATAATGGCAATTGATACACTATATATCAAAGCGTAACATAGATTAACTTTCAAGCTGATAAACAATGATGGATTACTCTGTAAGTCGATTCTGAAGAAAACGGGTTCTGGGCGATCTGTGAGATGATAGCCGGTCATTGGTGATTAGTTTACACCTCTGAGGTCTTCTCTGATCTCGTGCCTGGTCATTTGTAATTGGTTTAAAGTTCTAGCACTAGCTATTGATCGATGCAGCTACGGCACAGAAATAAGGTTTACATTGCTTCATCAAAAATTAATTTGCTGTCAAAGACACAACTAATTCAGTTCTGAAGTGAAATGATACACATATATGTAACGGAGTCTCTCTGTCCCCAGTCGGACATTGCAAAGGATCTCTACAAATTCATTGATCAATGCTATTGACTGGTGCAGCCGAGACACAGAGATAAGGTACAACATACTTCATCAAAAATTAATTTGCTGCCAAAGACACAATGTTCGCTCTGAAGTGAAACGATATCATGATATATACGGAGTCTCTCTGTCCCCATTCGGACAATTGCAAAGGATCTCTACAACTTCATTGATCAATGCTATTGACTGGTGCAGCCGAGACACAGAGATAAGGTACAACATACTTCATCAAAAGTTAATTTGCTGCCAAAGACACAACTTCGCTCTGAAGTGAAACGATATCATGATATATATTGAGTCTCTTTGTCCCCATTCGGACAATTGCCAAGGATCTCTACAAACGCATTGATCAATGCTATTGATTGGTGCAGCCGAGACACAGAGATAAGGTACAACATACTTCATCAAAAGTTAATTTGCTGCCAAAGACACAACTTCGCTCTGAAGTGAAACGATATCATGATATATACGGAGTCTCTCTGTCCCCATTCAGACATTGCAAAGGGTCTCTACACATTCATGAATCAATGCTATTGATTGATGCAACAGAGACACAGAAAAAAGGGTTTCAATACTTCATCAGACGTTAATTTGCTGCCAAAGACAAACTAACTCAGTTCTGAAGTGAAATGATGATTGTTATAATACCGAGTTTCTCTGTCCTCATTCGGACATTGCAAAGGATCTCCTACAACTTCATTGATCAATGCTATTGATTGGTGCAGCCGAGACACAGAGATAAGGTACAACATACTTCATCAAAAGTTAATTTGCTGCCAAAGACACAACTTCGCTCTGAAGTGAAACGATATCATGATATATACGGAGTCTCTCTGTCCCCACGCGGACATTGCAAAGGGTCTCTACACATTCATGAATCAATGCTATTGATTGATGCAACAGAGACACAGAAAAAAGGGTTTCAATACTTCATCAGACGTTAATTTGCTGCCAAAGACAAACTAACTCAGTTCTGAAGTGAAATGATGATTGTTATAATACTCTCTGTCCCCATTCGGACACATTCGTGGATCAGTTCTATTGATGAATGCAGCCAAGGCCCAGAGATAAGGTTTAAAATACTTCATCAAAAGTTAATTTGTTGTCCAAGACACAATGTAGCGTTGTACTGTAGTGACATGGATACGAAGATGAAGAGTCTCTCTGTTTCCAGTAGAAGACATTACACAGACAAGGAGTCTAGCCTCTACACCTACACACATATATCCATGGATTAATGCTTTTGATGAATGCAGTCGAGGGACACAGAGATAAGGTGTACAATATTTCACCACCAAAGTTAATTTGCTGCCAAAGACACAGTTACACTTCTGTAGTGACATGGATGTTAGTGTAAACTTTAAAGAGTCCGTCTGGCCATGAGTCTCTGTTCTTTAGGAGACACTCATGAATTGATGCTTTTGAGAGATGCACAGAGATAAGGTTTACAATTCTAGTGCTTCATCAAAAGTTAATTTGTTGCCAAAGACACAACAGTGCTGTACTGTAGTGGCATGGATACTAAGATTAAGAGTCTCCCTAGTTCCAGTAAGAGACAAGGGGTCTAGTCTTTACACATTCATGGGTTGATGCTTTTGAGGGATGCAGCCAAAACACAGAGATAAGGTGTACAATACTTCATCAAAAGTTAATTTGTTGTCAAAGACACAATTGCGTTGTACTGTAGTGACATGGATACGAAGATGAAGAGTCTCCGTATCCAGTAGGAGACATTGCAAAGACAAGGGGTCTAGCCTTTACACACACATATATCCATGGATTGATGCTTTTGATGAATGCAGTCGAGGGACACAGAGATAAGGTGTACAATATTTCACCACCAAAGTTAATTTGCTGCCAAAGACACAATAACGTCTTTCTGTAGTGGAATGGATGTTGGAATGAGAGTGCCAGGGGTCTGGTCTTTAGAAAGTTAAAGTCTTTGGTAAAGTTTCAAAGTTTATCTCATTTATCTTGTAGCATCCCTTCTACTAGTCTCCACCAGACTCCTTTGCAGGCTGAATAAATAGTAGAAATCGTCTAAGGGGAACATCATTGGCCAGAGGAGTTGGCCGGCCATAGAGGGTCCAGTCTATGGCCGGCCAACTCCTCTGGCCAATGTTGTTCCCTTTAGACGATTTCTACTATTTATTCAGCCTGCAAAGGAGTCTGGTGGAGACTACCCTTCTACTGCCTTGTGTGAATAACATCTGTGAATAATTTCTTCAGTTTGGTGAATGTTTAAATAACAAAGTTATTTTACAGCCACTTGGTTAATAAGAGCGGACATTTCGATGACTGTTTGTCATTTTTATCATATTAACCCTAGGCCTTCTACCAGCATGGGTGCAGCTAGTAGCTGTTTAGTGCACGTGCCTACATTGTATTGTCTTGCTGCAACGTCAATAAAGTCAGAGAATGCGTGTAGCGTCTACGCACGGCTATAGCTTTTTAAGTATCGTGTCTGCATGCCTTTAGACGGTAAATTGTGCCATAAAGATGATTCACACCCCATCTTCTGACCGAGCCCTTCCATTGAGTTTTAGGACATTTATTTTACTTTAAAGAATCCTCAGAGTTAAGCGAGACGATACGAATAGCCGTGATTTACTCTTATTCCGACCGAGCCCCCTCCAGTTGTAGAGATTTTAGGACATTTATTTTACTTTGTCACTACGGTAACGTTAAATCTAGAGCGTCTCGCTTAAACTCGGACAGTGATTTACCTTTAAGTACTCTCACCCTGTACGTCATAGCCAGACCCACGAACTTTACACGACTGTAATAATACAGAACCTCATAACCATCGCTCTACAAGTGATCTTCCCTACCCCCTGTCTTTTAATATTATACAGGTTTTATGAGGTGAAAAATACTATATGCACCTGGTATTCGGGCCCAAACGAGCGCTCGGCGCCACTTAAATCTTTTGGCCTACTGACCAGAACAATTGTGGAACAATTGCGTCTGGGGGTTTGGCAGAGTGGAACACACAATAAAGAGGCCGCCGGTTTGCGCACGTAGACGTGTACAGCCGCTCTTTTCAGTCCGAAATAAACTTTGACTGCCAGATGGAATGCTGTTAGCTAGGTCAAATTGTTCGCATTGATCGTATTCCCGATGTCTGGAAAACTTAACCCTTTGCTATTAGTATTAGTCTCCCTGCTATTCATCAATAAATAGTGCATTGTATACCTTAATTAATCATGATCACCACTACGGGCATCTTGCCCGGACTAAGGTGAAACTACTTTTCCAAGCTCCTCTGTTCTTCAAGTCCTGGGTCTTACAACTACTGAAAACCTCATGTAAGGCCTAGCCTCTATCAGGTGTTCCTAAGGGGGTTTGGATAGTAGAATTTGGCCGAAATAGGACCTGACTGGAGTGGGTCCACTGTCAGGGTTTCATTTACTTGCGCGGGCAAATGAACTCTACGGTGGCCAAACTCTAATCTCCAACTCCACGCACATCTTTCGGTGGCCACAAAGACAGTATCGAATTGGCCATGCGCCAGTCAGTATCCATTTGCCAAAGTCCCCGACCAATTATTATCCCCAACCAATTATCCTCCCCATTTGGCTAGATATTGCAGTTTTTGAACCCGCGTTGTTAATCTGATGTAGCCACTATACACGCGACCTGCTCTTCCATTGTCGTCTGTCCCTGACGTCTTTGCACTTAAATAACTCCTCTGAGAGTGATGAAACTCCACTCATGAGTTCAACACGGACGGTAAGTGACCCGTTCCATCCTGGGGGTCAGCTCCGTTCATCGATGTCTTCTTCGCGACAAAGCTCGCGCTTAACGTTAAGGACACCTGATCAAAGCTTAACATCGATGGACTTGCAAGGTGATAAACAATGATGGATTACTCTGTAAGTCGATTCTGAAGAAAACGGGTTCTGGGCGATCTGTGAGATGATAGCCGGTCATTGGTGATTAGTTTACACCTCTGAGGTCTTCTCTGATCTCGTTCCTGGTCATTTGTAATTGGTTTAAAGCTTGGAGATCGCGCACTAGCTATTAGTGGATGCAGCCAAAGCACAGAGATAAGGTTTACAATACTTCATCAAAAGTTAATTTGCTGCCAGAGACACAAGTAACTCAGTTCTGAAGTGATATATGATACAGAGTCTCTCTGTCCTCACTCGGACATTGCAAAGGGTCTCAGTTACACATTCATGGATCAGTGCTATTGATTGATGCGGGCGAGTTCTCAGAGTTAAGCGAAACGTAACGAGTGACCGCGATTTACCCTTCTTCCCACCGAGCCCCTCCATTGTAGATTTTTAGGACATTTGTTTTAGGAGTACGAGTCTTTGCACTTTAATAACTCCTCTGAGAGCAATGAAAATCCACTCATGAGTTCAACATGGGCGGTAAGTGGTCCGGTAAGTGCCCCGTTCCATCCTGGGGCTAAGCTCCGATGAACGATGTCGTCTTTTGCGACAAAGCTCGCGCTTAACGTTAAGAACACCTGATGTGTCACTCTCAGTACGTAATGTACAATGTGTGAACAACTGAACATCTTTCACTTCGCCTCCAACATGCACCCAGGGACATTATACACAGATAATGTGTATAATGTCCTTGATGCACCCCACGATCTGTACACCAATTAACCCACCGGCAAACCGCATTTTGGCGGTTAGTCTCCAAGACGAATGGGCCTGGGTGATGTTTTTATTGGTCTTTTGCGGACGTCTCTGTGCTTATCTGGCTTTCGCTAGCTAATCAAGTGCATTTTAGGTATGTGGGGATGCCCTCTTGCCATGGTGCCAGATCAACTTCGGAAAGCCTAGACGGAAAATCCATGGAAGAGTAGCAAAGACCAACAAATTACAGACTAACGTTAACACTGACCGATTCATCTGATTGGAGAATAGTTGGTAGCTGAATCTCCCAACCTGATGTTGGGAATGAGGCAATCTCCAACCAGAAGATTAGACTTCGGCGTATTTTTGACGTCTTTTCGGGTGTTTTTTATCCGGCTTTCTGTTTTTGTACCGGTATCGAACGCGAGGATACTGCACGGCCAATTTGAAACTGTCTTGCCAATTTGATACTGCCACAACAATTCGATTCTGTCTAGTCAATTCGATACTATCGTGTCAATTTGATACTATCTTGCCAATTTGTTACGTACTGTCCATTCGATACTGTCTTGCCGATTTGATATTGTCTAGTGCCCTGTGCCGATTGCATACTGCCCCGCACATTCGATCAGCTGTCTAGCCGATTCGACAGAATTGCCATACTGTTTAGCCAACTCGGTACTCAGTCTTGCCAATGCAAACTGTACTCCTTTATAGCTGACCGACCCCCTTGATGTTATCTGTCTACTTGGCCAATTTTGTACTCTTTCCAGTCGCTTCTGAAGCCCGGTGGCGGCTAGTCGGCCGTAGTTTTAGTGGAAAGGGATCGAGTTCAGATGAATACCGAGTGCATCATTAGTGGTTGAAATTCGGGCAGGGAGCCAAACCGCCTCTCTCCAACGCACCCTCGATTATTACACATCCCCGGGAGGTTTCCAAACGGCACGGAGGGTCAGTGGGTCACTGGGTTGACTGACATCTGCAGCCAGGTGTTGTAAGGCGGCAATAACGGACTAAGTGTCGTGGGAACAAACATGCCCTACTTCCGGCACCAGCTTGTTGTACGAAACAGTCATTTGGATGCTGTATAAGCCTCCTCTTCAACAAACTAAAATTAAAGTTTGTAGGTAAAAACAAAGGTGTCTGTATCTTTATTTATTGCTACCAGGCGGCTGGCTGAAACTGAGTAGAAATAGAGAGATAGCATGCCAGGGGAGTTGGTCTTCCAGAGAGAACAGTTTGCCGCGCCCGAAAACTGGTGCGGCAAACTGTTCTCTCCCGAAGCATGGTAGAGGCGTAACACACCAGCTTCTCAGGCACGCGGCAGCTGGCTACATTACACCGAACGACTTGTTACACCTAACCCTTGAACATTGTTTTAAGCTATCCAATGCTGATGCTTCTACTGTAGTTGGTGGCAGCAGGTTCCACTCTGCGATAGTTCTAGGAAAGAATGAGTTTTTGAACACTTAGTACCTCAACTATGTTGATAACTCTGGTACTTGAAGGCACGACTGTTTCATGTGAAGTGTTCATATAGCCTTTATGACTCCGCACGGGCAGTGGGTTGTTAATCCACTGTGTCCTGCTCTCCGCCTTCCAATATCTCGCTCACACACAACGGGTTATTAACCTTCTGCCCCAACGACTTATAAAGTTTATAGGTGACTCTTACATTTCTTTATATGCTTCCCACAAAGTGCCTGAGTCTGACATGTCAGGGCCTTTCCATTAACCGGCTCTTGTAACTCATCGTTTCCCCGAGATACCAGATCCGCATAGACCCGGGATGCGGGAAGGTGACTGTGGCGTGTACAGGGATGGCATTATTCGTTCTTCCGCATTTCTGCGATTTAAGGAATATTTTTCTACAGGGCAGACCCAGACTGACGTGTTTTTTTTCGCACAGTTTTCTGATGGCAACAAGGTTCTAATTGCTTTCTGATCGAGAATTTGATGCCGTCCGAACTATCAGAGCACTGTATACAATTAGACCTTGGTATACAGTATAACCTTTTAAAATCTTAATAATTTGTGAGGTAGTAATAATTTGTGAGGTAGTAATAATTTGTAAGGTAGTAATAATTTGTAATAAGGTATTAATAATTTCCAAGAGTAGACAGGTCCATTCCGTGAACAAGGTTGATGGAGTCAACCGAAAATATGGCGTAAATGCCAATACTTTGTTAGTTAGTGTTGGAAGTTAACGGTTAGTCTTTATTTCATAATTTGTAAGGTAGACTAGTCTCATAGTATTTTTTTTATATAGCAATAGATGCCATACTTTGTATCATTGTTGTGTATGAAAGTTTATGCTAATGTGGGGAAAATGCTTGGTGGTGTCTACAGCAAAGGCAAAGGAATCTTCGTATTCATCCACGCGCTAGCACATAGTCGTAAGTGGGTATAAACGTGTTCTAGTTGGTAAGTATGTCCATTTGTTCACCCGCGGCCCATGGATCAAGGCTGAAAGGGGTTGTCTGATGCATGTCACACACTTGTACATAACTAGGACAAAGGCTAACATGCGTGGTAACTTCACTTGACCGCAGAGATCATAGGGCACCTTTCCACTGAACGATGTTCGATTACGTGTCGACGTCTTTTACTGACCGTCAGTGATTGATGTACTAACATAGCTTCCATAGCAAGTAGCCATAGAACCATTTCTTTCGGTAGTTGTCTACTTTTTACTGGTTGATTTATAGTTATCAGTTTTCTGTGCAATGCTGAGTATCTTCAACCCCATCTCAGGCTATCCTCTGAAAGGAATTTAATAAAAACGCCACTGCAGTTCCAGAATAAAATGCTAGGGCGAGGATTTTTGACAAAAGGTCTTGATTGACTATTGGAGACTTAAAAAGATATTGTAATAAAAAGAAGATATTGTCAGGATAGATATTTTATTCATTTACATTTTCTAGATTCAATTCTGCACATTATTATAGCCTATTCTAAAGGCATCGGTGAATTGCACACTTTTAAGTCACGAATAGTATCATAGACAGAAGCATACTCATATACAAACAAGCGTACCATCAAACCATTGCTTCCTATTTACCAATAGGTTTGCATTATATACGTTTGAATAATTAATGCAGTGACACATTCAATTATTCAATGAAAAAAAAACGTAAATCCTTCTGTACAAATAAATTGTCTCCCGGTTTCCTTAGTTGCATGATAAATATATTATGTATTCTAATTTACAGGCGTTTTATATAAAGCCACGACAAATCCTGTCGTGTTGTCATAGTGAATCTTTGAAAACGAGCAACATCATTTTCCGTGGGGGAAATACAACAAAATCGGTACAAATAAACCTATCTATAAGCCATTCGACATCACGCGTGTCTACTCGTCTAACTTACTGTACATGTAAGGTTGATTACGACCATTGTTTAGTACGGAAACAGTGGCTGTTGTTTGGTTGAACACCACACTCGGACCCAGAGGAGACTTCTTGGAACTCCTAAGCACACAGATGTATATCACAGAAAATACACAGGCGCAGAAAAAGAGGGTTCCGGCTATGGCGGCCAGCAGGGGCCTGACGAAGACAGGCAGGGAGGACGTACGGGGAGCGTTCTTCTCTATCTTTCCTGGATGTAGATAGGAAACATTGACAGTAAAAGATGCTGCCATTGGCAATGTAGACTTTACTCTTCTTTCCTCAGAAAGAGTACCGATTGCAGAGACTGTAGATAGACCAGAAGAGTCACCATCGCGTGTTAATGTTGAGCCGGGAGTTGGGAAAGACGATGGAACCCTAGATGTTGACTTCTTGCTAGTCTTGACAGTAGACAAGACGCTGCGGCTTGTGATGTGGCCTGTGATCCGGGGAGACGGCAATGCTGATGAAAATGTGGACGTTTCTGGTTGAAGAACTGGAGGCGGAGTACTTGGATTGTAGCAGGCTGTTGTCTGTTTGCCTGACAGCAAATCTCCAAGAGCTACATCATGTAGTAAGCTTTTACCTCGAAGATGGCCAGGTCCAGCGCACGTCATCTGCCTCTCAAATGCATGCGACCCGTCCATTATCCGCCAGAAGGCTACCATCCTACAGTCACACTGCCAGGGGTTGTTGCCAATACTCACGTTTGCAATGGAGGCCAATAAGTCATACGCCGCGGGAGGAAGTGTTTCCATCTTGTTGTCTTCCATGCGAAGCTCCGATAGCGGCGGTCTGTAACGTAGCAAGGCTTCAGCGGGGAAGTGGTTGATGTTGTTGTGAGACAGGATCAGCGTCTGGAGCCGCGGAGTTACGAACGCGGTACGTGAAATGGTGCCGATGTTGTTGTACTCCAGGTCTAGGTGCTGAAGGTGAGACCGCGGCGCGCTTCTGAAGGCAAGATCCTCGAGGCTGCTGATGTTGTTCCTGTGCAGGTCCAGCCACTCCAGGTTACCCAGGTAAAGGAACGTGTCAGCTTCCAGGCTAATCAGCTGGTTGTTGTCAAGATGCAGGGACCTCAGCTCAGGGAGGCCCGGCCTGTATCCGAATATGTCATCTGGGAGCGAGACTAACCGGTTCTGGCCAAGCCACAGTTCCCGCAACTTACCAAGTCCTGCAAAGGTGCTAGGCCAGAGACTTGTCAACTCGTTCTGCCCGAGCCACAACTCCTGGAGGTTACCGAGTCCCGTAAATATGCCACGCGGCAGGCGTGTTAGTTTGTTCCGATACATGTCCAGGACCGTCAGGTTGCCAAGCCCCTCAAATATATCAGCCGAAAGACTGGTCAGTTGGTTCTGGTAGAGATCTAAGTGCTGCAGGTGACCTAGCCCCCTGAATATGCGGGCCGGGAGAGTGGTCAGCCTGTTCTGGTAAAGGTCCAAGCGCTGAAGACGAGCAAGTCCCACGAACGCGCCGACTGGGAGACTTGTGAGTTGGTTCCCGTAGAGGTACAGGTCCGTTAGGTTGGCCAGGTTGCGGAACGTTCTTCTCTGGATCGTTGAGATTCTATTAGAACCGAGATGTAGGTATGTCAAGTTGCCGTATCTCGCGAAGTCGGCCGGGCGTAACGTGGTGATGAGGTTTTCCCGCAGATCCAGGCGAGTGATGTTCGCAGGCAGGTCCTGAGGAACGCTGGTGAGGCGTGACCCGCGACAGTCACAGCTGGTCGGCGTACAGCTGCTGCTGCAGGCTGCGGTCCGTCTGGTGAACGTGAGGACCATCAGCAGGAGGTACAGCATCCTCCTTGCCATGGTGGACATGCTGTCTGCAATAACAATGACCTTTATTGCATATTCACACCATACATTAGCCAAATGCACTACGTTATACATAGATATGTGAGGTATGACTATGAGGGTAGTAGCAACAAGTTCTACATTACTGTGCTAAGTCTATATCTACAAGATCTCTTCTCTCTTTTTGAAACGAGCATAACAAATTTACAGTTTTTCATTTACATCGTAGTTCTTGGATGACATAATATTTTGAACTCTTTTCGGTAAGTGCGTATATTTCTGTTTTAATTGTAAGGAACTAATAAAGGATATGCACATGTCTTTTGAATTAATGAAACAGATATGAGACTCTCAGAAATGAAATAATTTCATCAGGTTGGTAAATGATTGAATAATGCATTGTTCTTTCTGCACAACCGCTTGTTCTTGTGGCTCTTGCTAAACAAGTGATTATGAATAAAAAACTTTGCTATCTAGAAATGGGATTTGTTTGCTTCTGGTGTTATCGCTTATATTTGTACCTGCTTACGTAAGCCCGAAGCAGGCTTGTTTGCGCTAATTACATCAATTATCCTTTGTCTGCAAAGACAGAGCCTTCTGTCAAGCGTGTGTAATGATCTCACCCGATTGCCTGTAGACCATACTGGTCTGTCAGTTTGTGTGTAATGATGATTCATGAAACTATAGTATAAACTACAGATTCATATATCATGCATTTAGTTGGTACGGTGAGTACATAGGTATGGTACTGATAATGACAAATAACAGTGAAATCTATACGTAAAGTACGACCATGCCCTGGTACTAAAAATACTCTTCAAATGTCTCTGGTGTCGTGTTAGTGTAACCTTTGTCACAATTACTAAAATAACTTACATACACGGAGTTGTTGGACAAGTCTGATAACTCGTACATCTTGTACTTAGTATTGTCAGACGTCGATCTCCAAGCAGATCCTACGGTGGCAAGGCAGTATCCAAAGGTCAGCCAAGCAGTGTCCATTGGCCACCAAAGCTAATGGTCGATTGAATACTGCATTGCCACCGTAGGATCTGCTTGGAGATCATTAGACAGGTTCAACCGTTGCGTGTATACAAGGTTCTTCTGGCTGCGCGGACGTCGACAGGCATTCTACACATTCTTTAGTTAGAAAACTCAAAACGCTTGAACGTGGAGTAACTATTTTGGGGAAGAGTACAAGTAGTGTCAACGTTGACATTCACACAAATCGAATCTTAAGCACATTGTTATGTATGCACGAATGTATCACTGTCATGCCAAGTATCCTAGCTACATCTAGCTGCTAGCTTGTGTGCCGTTTCAATAAGAGGTACAGATTCAGGGACTTTTGTTTGGTGCTTCGTTCATAAAAAGCCTTGTCTCATGTCTGACTGTTGACCTATAGTGACATGGTGACTGTTCCCACGCTCTAAAATTTTCCTCGACGCCATTTTTGGTGACGTATCAACCTGAACTTCACGCCGGTAACTGTTCCCTAGTCTAGAACGTCCTGCCTAAAAGCCCAGGGCTCACACATTCAGAACCTTCCCCCGACCACCAACCAAGGTTGGCTGAAGTTTGCAGCAGCCTGATCATATTTAGACCAGCTTTCAATAATAGAATTGAATTTGAATCGAATTTGTGTTGAAGCTGAGTTGAATTTGACCCCCGAACACTGCTGGCCTAATTCCAAACACCATGACCGAACCGCCTGTCCACACCAGAATGTTTTAAACATTTTGAAATATTAGGCTGGCGCAGCCGACCTAGCTGAACAACGATCACTTTTCAATGCTGGGCTAGCCAACATTTCTCCGGACTAACTCCTAACCATGGTCGGGGAGTTTGACAGTGTTTGGGAGGCCATGATCAGCTATGTGTGACAGGGGGTTCTTTACCCGTGAATGACCCGACCCTAAGACACACTAATTATCCGGTAGGGTCACTAAGTAGATTAAGAAGACTTACCTTGATGTGAATACGCGATTACTTCGAGTCTTCAAGTATAAGATCCTGTTACAGTGTCTTGTGCCTTTCTGGTTCGCTGTTCTGCACTGTCACACGTCAGGTGGTTGAACCTGTGATTTACGTGATTAGATCAAGGCGTTGGCTTCAGCTGACGGATGTCTATTGTGCATAATGTGCCTTCAGGCGATCCCGGCTATTTATGTAGTTATTACCGGCAGCCACCGTGTGAAAGCACAGTATTCGTGACAGGCACTACCTGTGGCCATGACACGGGGTCAAAAACAAAGCCCTCTTGTGGAATAGCTTTGATTTGAAATGTAGAAATGTGTCTTAGACAGATTTTTCTCTCTCTAGAAGCCTCCTTCGCAAACCAACTTACTTGAATGCAGAGATGTGAACCAACGTCAAACAGACGCCGGAGGTCATGACCTTTGTTCCCATGATGGAACACCTGACGTCACCCTGCCGTCTGGTGCGTACGGTGGGGTCAGAGTTCAGCCGCTGTAGACGCCGGGACCGTCAGGTGACTGATTAAGGTGTTCCCAGGCGAACCCGCCATGGGTACGTGTAACAACAAAGCGGCAGTAATGAAGTGTTTGGTCTGTGACGCACGATTCAGCCTGCCTTGACGTCAGAAACAAAGCCTTTCATGATAATGATAGCTTTGCGTTGGTAAAAGGGTTGTTCTGGTGAATTCATGTATGTATGTATGTGTGTATGTGTACGCGTGTCTGTATGTGTCTGTGTGTGTGTTTGTATGTGTCTGTGTGTGTGTATGTGTGTGTGTATGTATGTATGTGACTGCATGTGCGTGTGTATGTTAGTACGTGCGTGTGTGTATGAGTGTGTGTGTGCACAATATTTTCCATATTATATTACATGTTATTCATTTTTATATTAAGTTTGCATAAAGGTTATACATAATGGCATTTGTACACCTATAGAAGTGGAGTGTGACAGAACCATGCTTTAAAAACCACGAAGTAGATGTCTATCAAGGGAGTAAAGCACAGATGTACAAACTGCAGTTGCCCTAAGAGGCCCAACTATGCTCCCTTCCCTCAGCCTTTACTTGTACTGACAGATGTGTTACTCAATCTGTAAAGTACCTTATTAAGCACCTGAGTGTGTGTTAAAACATTGCGGTCAGTGACCCGGAAGACTACGGATAATGATAGTACAAGCACATCTTCCCAACGAGCTGCGTCAAGCCTTGCCGATAGGTCTTGCCGGTCAATAAGTTGGGAAAGCCCCGTATATCCGATGATCCCTTTGCTCATTTCATCTCAGGTACTTTCATTAGAGAATTCGGCTGCAGGCATCACTTCTGCTCTAGATATCCGCAGCGGCCTTGTAAAAGGGAGCAGAAATGCATCATTTTGAAGCTTCGGGGCCCCAAAATAGCTTCCTGTGCATGCCTCCGAGCGGGTGGGTGATTTAATACTGGGTTTTGTAGAATTGTCAACGCGTTCTTTTGCCGGGCATCGTACAATCAACCGGCCATCGTAGGACAAACTCGCCTCGGCTGTCGGTTGCTTGTACGATAGACGGCAGAAGGACGCGTTGACAATTCTACAAAGCCCAGTATTAAAACGTTTACCTGCTTGGAAGCATGCACAGGATAGGAGGCTAGACCCTATGGGTCCTACAGACACATGCACATAGATAACACCACTGTCAATCAGGTCTCAGATAACAGCTAAATTAAGTATCGGCCATCTTCCAAGTCGATATCTACTGCTTAGTTACCAGTGGGCAACGGCAGAATCGTTAGTATTTGATTGATGGTCAGGTGTAAAGCCGCCAGGACAGGTTCAAGTCGGGGTCTCATATATCAAACGCTGGTCTGATTAATTATTGCTGTAATACGAAAAGTTTGAGTACAGCCACCGCGGTGGTCAGCAAGAAGTTTGCTGACTTCCCTGACTCAGCAGACGTAGGCTTAAATGGGATTACACGTGGGCTCAAAGCAGGTTATTTCATCCAAGAGCTTTCAATGGTATTAAGCAGACAGCAATGTAAGCAAGATCGTAATGAGGAAGTATGAACTCAATCAGGAAGTTCTGCCCCTACCAAGTCGTCCCCGACACTATTACAAACAGTCCATTATTTTGAAGCTATTTTATACCCAGTTTCAATGTTCTTTTATGTTTGTAACTTACAATTAGTCTTCGGGCATGGATCTGCAATAAACGTCTCATTCTTATAGGGGTTTCCAATATACCTGAGACAATCGTTGGTCGTGATGTGGAGACAAAACCTAAATCTAACCCTAACCCCAACAATGACCCCCAACTCTAATTCCTAACCTGAATGACCCTGACAATACCAGCCATAATTGCAACCCTGACGCTAGCAATAAATTCTATACCCGACCCTCCGTCTCATCAGTTGGAAAACTAGCTACCGACGACCAGGACAGCGAGGTGCAAGATCACGACCCCATCTATCCTGGCATTCGAGACAGCCGTCTAGAAAAAGAGCCACTACCCGGACCAGCAGAAGTATGACGGGGCAGAAATTTGGCGCCACATCGGGACGTTTTCTCCGCCCTCTCATGTCTCTGTCTAGATACTACGTCATCTCCGATGCTATGGACAGATATATATATATATATATATATGTGTGTGTGTGTGTGTGTGTGTGTGTGTGTGTGTACATACATAGATATATTGTATTATGTATGCAAAAATAGGTAACTACATAAAAGACTGTTTTGCTGTATTAGAAAATATGCCCTGAACCCATGATTAGGCCTTAATTGTACACGGTATTAGGTCTTGATGCTTAGTAGTAATTAGGGTGTTAATTGTCATTCTCTGCCCTTCTCTTTTTTGTACTATGTTCAGAACTCGCTGCCATACATTATTGTAAGTAAGACAATTGTACACGGCACAAAATTCTTCTATGCCACGCTGAGAGTCAGGTTTGATTGAAAACCCTCCCGCTGACACTCCGGGAAGGGCTTAGCCTCTCCCTCCATCACCCCCATTAGACGTGCTCTAGATGGCACCTCACTCAACAGTAAGCTACTTTCCTTCAGTACCCACAGCGTT